TCTTCATTTGAACATCAAGAAAACAAAAGAAATCATCTTTGAGTTTAGGACTGCAAACAAAACCACCTACACATGACTGTCAGTAGGAAAGGTATTGAAGTGGTAGATGACTACGAATATTTAGGAATGATAACAGATGCTAAACTGACATCTAATTCGATCACAGATGCTATTCATCAGAAAGGTCTGCAGCGTCTATATTTCATGTGTAAACTGAGACAGGTCAAAGTGGACAGACATATTGGTCCTCTTCTATTGTTGCTTTGTGGAGAGCATTTTAATTTACTGTTCTATTGTCTGATATTTTGTTATTGTTGGTGAACAATTAAAAAAACAAACTGTGTAAGATAGTCAATATGCCCAGTAAGATTGCTGGACAGCAGCAAGACTGGATGACAATGACCTTTGAGTCCCAAATAGTGGGTAAAGGGCAAACCATTACAGTTTTAAATCCCCTATTTAGTGTATATAAGCTGTTATCACCAGGCGGATACCATGTGATCATGTCGTGCAAACTACTGTTTTTTCAGCATCTAGCCTGCCATCCCTGCAGGCATCCAGACAGCCAACTTTTCTTTGACCCTTGTTACCCTCTGTATGTTCTACCTGCACAGTCACGCTTTTGTCACATCTCTGTAACAATTCAGTCCATTGGTCACTCGGAAGCATATTTCCCTGTTAATCGCCGCCAGCCCAGCAGCTCAGTCTGCCAGTCAAATTCATCTGACGTTAGAGCTCCTGTCCCTGTCTTTAATTTGTATACACCTCTGTGCAGTAACTCTGTAGAGCCTGGCAAATCCTGTTTCCTAAGCCTGTGTTTACCAGCGTATGCTTGTCTTGAACACATCGTATTCAAAGCTTTCAAGCATGTGTTTCTCAGTTCAGTCAAGAACACTTTAGTCAAAGAAAACATTTGCAGTGTTATATTTGACGTTATGGCTCTGTTCTGGGGCCTCTCTGCTTCCTCAGGCCTACACAGAAAGCCTCTTCCACGTGCCTGCATGGAAGGCAGAGAGAGCACAGCTGTCTGCCCTTCTGCGTGCTGCCCGCGGGAACAGAACAGAGTCAGCATCAGTGACCAACACAAATGCTTATTCCTGTGAACCAGCCTGTGCTCTAGCACATGCTACATTGTACTTAGCAAGTAGAATTCATTCATTTTAAGCTGTGCCTCAGCATGAGCACTTAGACTGGTACCTGGAATATGCTTAGCATGCATTATATTATATTATCATGGGATGAACTGGGCACGATGTAATAAAACTCTGGTGGTGCATTATCATACCTGGAAATTCTGTTAATACATTTTGCCCACGGTTACATTGAGCCCAGTACCAGGCATGTCCACCAATCAGCAGGCCTCCTCCCTCTGCCACGAACTCTAGGATTTCCTCTGCTTGTTTGTCGCTGTTCGCGAAACACACATACACACTCAGGTCTTTCCTGAGGTTTGTCGTCTCACACCGCAACCCCGACTTGCTGAGATTGTTGAGGGGAATTTTTGCTTGCACACCAACAACCCCCTGCCGGCCTTCATCCAGCCAGTGAATGGCATTTTTCCAAAATGGAGCCAGTGACTGTGATAAAATTTTGACAAGGAAAGCAGTTTGTAAGTCATGTAAAAAACAAAAAAAACATAAATTTGACCTATAAAGACAGAAATTCTAAAATGTGAGTGAATTTAATGTTAACTCTACCTCTCATCCGATGAATCCTGCATGAGTGGTCATAATAACCCTTCCCTGCCCATAGTAAGCTCCTGCCATGAACGCCTGTCTACTCTCATTGGTACCAATGGGGAAGGCTAGTGTACCATGGACCAAGACTTCAGAGGCTATTGAACGACCCTGGATGTCAAATTCTTTAACTCCCTGAAGTAAGAACTCCAAGTCATCCTCAAAATCCTTTCCAATCCTGTTTTTGAAAGGGGAAAGAGAAAGGAAAGATAAATGCTGACAAGGACATACAGTGTATTATAGAATAACAGTAAAGAATAAGTATATTAACCACATTTAAAAAAAATAAATAAATAAATTCTGGTCATATGTTATCGTAACTTTGTCAAGTTTCGTCATTTCTATTGCATAATGACAGTGTAGGAGACAAACAGGAAAAATGTTGGCATATGGCCAGGCTAGAATCAGGGAGGGTGCAGTTATGGTTTACAGGACTTAACCACTATGCCACAGAGGCTTTCTGAAAAACAAATATTTTGACAAACAGCCATGGCAAAGTTGTAATGATATTATTATAATATGATTTATCTTAAAATGCAATTCATTCAACTTTATTTTATTTAACTTTCTTTTATAACTTTATTAAAAGTTGTCAGTTTGGACAGTAGGACCTTTTCAGATGTGCAATAAAAGAGAAGTACAGGACAAACTCACACTACAGCCATCCAGGAAGATGGGATCGAAGGGTAGACAGGCAAGCACTCCTTCACACCTCTGTGCTCAGAGAAGTAGATCCCTGCCACACCAGAAACCTTATTCCCCACAAACATCAGCAGCGTGTTCTCCTTAGGGTGACCTGCAGCCCAGCTCCATGCCTGCGCCCCAATCAGCACTCCTCCTCCAGCTTTCATAAATGCCACCAGCTCCTTCGCGTGTGGACCAACGCCGTATGCATCTGTCACATACACACCAAGCCCCAGTTTGTCACTGAAGGATCCCACAACTTTGGCTTCGTAGCTGGACTTGCTGAGGTTATCAGCGACTGCCTTGACTTTTTGGCTGATTCCAACAGACATATTGTTGGATCCATCTCCTCTCAACCAGGTCAGAGCGTTCTCTACCAGATCAGGAAAGGTGGTCATGTAGCCCTCACGACCCAGGACCACAATCCTTCCACGACCGTACAGAGAGGCGGCCATCAAGACCTGGCCTTGGCTGTTCATTGCTAAAGGAAAGGCATGGTCTCCAATCAGCACTAGGTTACTGGGAACACAGGGGTTACGGAGGTCCAGCTCTTTCAAGCCTCTCGTCAGGGCGATGTAGGCCTCTTTGTGAGGATTTCCAATGGGCTTGTTGGCCATGGTAAGAAGGATCGATGCTCTTAAGGTTGGATGAAGAGGCCGGAGAGCAGAGTGACAGAAACAGGTGTGTTAAGTCAGATGCGTTAATGCATCTGCAAGAGTGGCGTGGGAATATAAATGAGGGCGAGAACAGGTTTGAGTACTTCTGGGGAAATCACAATAGGAGGACGGACATCACAGAGCACAACCCCGTGCCGGGCTTCTAATGAAGGCCAAGATCGGACATCGATCATGTGGCCTTAAGATGGGATGACAACGCCTGTCTGTCAGTATTCACAGTGTGTGAATGTTTCACTGGTTACACATGTGGTTTTGGAAAGAGATTCACCCTGGATAAGATTGTATTAAAAATCTGCCTATCCAGTTGGTGTGTCAATATATGTGAGGGCACAACACAACATTGTGGCTGTAAAATAAACCAAGGAGCTCATCTGTGTTTTTGTTACTTAAATAGACATATGACTATTAAAACCATTTGTCAATTAATTAAATGAGTGTTCAAGAGTATCCTCTTTTGTTTCTTGTGAACACTGCTGTCTGTGTCTTTAATTTTTAGACAGTTTACATGTTGTGAAAGCAATAAACCAATGTAAATGCAACATGCAGCCTATGCAACTTCAATGGTGCCTCTAAAATGAACAAACCGAAGTATACTTCTACACGAAAAGCTGCCAACATGAGTTACAAAACATTGCCATCCTCTCATGGAGAAAAAAGGACACAATATACTTATTAAAACATTTAACATTTTTATATCACTAGACAGTATAATAACAGGAAAAGAGAACAAAGAGGTATTTCTTCCTAGTTAGACAAACCTATGTGCATAGAAGGAACTAGTCCGAACTGAATACAACACACACATGCTCAAGGAAGTGGAGGAGACAGTGACAACATCAGGGTGTGTATAGATATAACCAAGTTTAATTGAAGACGTATTAAGACCTTTTTAATACCACCTTATATGAAATTTAAGACCAAACCTGCAGTGGAAATACACATTGTATGGAGGGAGGTAGGTAGAGAGGAGTCATGCATATATGGGAGTGTCTGCTCAAGACTGAGGCTATATCCACATATTGCCTTGTTACTTATAACACAGATTCCATTATTTTCCTGTATAATTGGAAAAAAAAAATCAGCCACCACAGGGCACACTACACCTCATCTTTGTTATTTGACAAAGCAAGGGAACCCAAAAGCAGACAATACACAGACTGGGAGCAGGATCTAGGTGATTTATTGGTAATAAAATGAGTGGAGGAGTACTGGGAGGCAAAGTCAGAGGGGGGGAGTGAAGCAGGGGAGCTGGCCAAGAGGGTCAAGAGCGGGGAGGTGAAGAGGAGCAGATGGAGTCCAGGTGGCTTCTTTTTTAGCAGGAGTGTCCATGCAGTGGAAGAGCTGATGTGATGGCAGTGGATTACCAGGTGGAGAAGGGGTGGAGCAAGAGGCAGGAGTCAGACCAAGATAAAGCAAGATGGCTGGAACGTGACTGACTACTTAACAGAGTCTAGGATCTGGCAACGTGCTGGAGTAGGAGCCTGGTATTTGAAGCTGACTTGATTGAAGATGATGAGCAGCTGCGGTGACTCCTGCGCACCAGACAACACTTCAGTAATCAGGGCGAGAGAGGGGAGGAGGGAAGCTCCTGGCTAGGAGGGAGAGGAGGCTGCAGCTGAGGCTGTGACAGTCTTGTTGTCTACACTCTCTCTTTGTCTCTCCCTTATCAAACCTCAGTGTGCATCCCAGTGTAACCACAAACTGTAACTGTATTTCTTTCCCAGTGTGCTGCAACTCCAGTGTCTGCAATTCTCTGTCCCTCTGTTTTATAATGCCTTAAAACAGTGAGGAACATAGAAGAACACCAGTTGGAGAGGCTCTCTAAATGAACTGGGAGAATTCCTCCAGCAGTTCTACAACCAACCAGCAGGGGAGCTGTTTTACAACAACTGCAGGACAAATGAAGGGTGAAGGGAATGTTTATTGAAATCTTTTCCAGAGAAAGTAAAGACAAATATCAACATAAACAAATAAACATATTATTCATCTTATAAACACAACCTGAGTCACTTACCATAAATGTGGAAAAGAAATTACCATCTTACCCTCACATGAATCATCCACACATCTGTAAAAGCATGACAGTTAATATGACCCGAACAGGAAGCCCAAGATTCACCTTTAACCTGGAAGATGCTACCTTAAACATCTTCCAAACATGTTGCTGCACGCAAATAGCTTGTGCAACGTCTGTCAACAGCAGCACAGAGACAAATTTTGCATGATTGAACAGAGCAAGTGTACAGTTTCAGTTTAAACCTGTTAAATATTGTGTCTGATAAATGGCCTCTGGGTTTTTGTTTTACATGGACGTTGTGTGCACCTAGTGAACAACAGCGGTACCATGCCCAAAATTACAAAGTCAAACATGTCCATTGTTTTGAAGTCCTGTTTCTGCAACATACACATTCCCTTCAGTGCACAGTGTTGATTGTCTGTTTTGGGCTACTGTAGAAAAGACATGGCAAAAAACATAAGGATTCTCAGTTTTAGGTGATTTTACACAAAAGAAAAAATAATTATAAATATTATGATCCATTTCTGCCAATATATACCCCTAAATCCTGCACACTTTAAAAGCTGTATGGTCAACTATGTCTCTCCTGTTTCTTTTTGAAACTAAAAAAATGGCAAAAAATACAACATCAGCAACAAAAGAAAACAAAGTCAGTTAAATCAACCACCCATTAACTACTCAGTGTCTGGAATAAAGAGCCCCTAAAGTCCCATGGTACTACTATTATCTTATACACATAAGATGATAACTTATTTGTTCAACGTCATTATCTTGTGCGCACAAAATTTAAAAAAAAAAAATCAGCTTTCAGGACTTTTAGGGTTCCATATTATTGAACCCATGCCTCTACATTTTTTACTTGCAGCAGTCTGAAGTAGTTTAGTCATACTGGACCATGGGGTGGTCGCTCCAGGGAGGCAGGTCGGAGAGTTTCTCCTCAGTGGCTGTTTCAATGTTCCAGCCCCAGGACTTAAAGAATCCACACAGGTTCATCTCCACAGCCTGGGAGAAAGTCTCAGCGTACAGGTTCATCTTCCCTTTGTTGTTCTTGGGAAAGCTGCTCATCTTGTGGTAGGCAGCAAACACCTTCTTAAAGGCATCCCAGCCAAACTTTTCCTGGAGCTACAGAGGTAAATGAAATGTGAATAGGAGTAATTAAAAAAAAAAACACTGGAAAAATGAATAACAAAGTAAATATATAAAAATAAAGTCAACTTTGACAACACACTGAGTTCAGAGTGCAATTTCGTCTAGGCTTCTCCACAGGGTGTAATACAGAGTAATTCCCACTCACCTGCATGTATGTCTCCAAGGCCACCCACATGCTCCAGTCGCTAATTTTTTTCCCTGTCTTAGCATACTTCTCTGCTCGCTTGTTTCGATTTGCTACAGTCATATTTGGATGAGCCTGCATTGAACAATATGAAATGATATGATTGTTAAACAATGTAAAAGGCCAAATACATCTATCCTTATAAAAACATGTCACAGTAGACCATTTCAAACTTCACAACATAAGCATCTTAAATGGTCCAAGTGTATTTCCTGTTGTAATGTTTGTTAATGCAGTAGCTGACAGGAAGTCAACAGAGACCAGAGCCATTGCCCTTGCAACACAATAGCAATGAAACGGTCTGTAGACCAAATCAGAATGTTTGTTTACAATAACTTGCGGGTAGAAAACCCTCATGTCATGTATGTGAAACACTGCAATACTGCTGAGCAAGCGCTGCATCAAATGGTTAGTTCTTATCCACCTAAAAATTTTACAATTGAAACAATCACCAGGCGTCTACCCAGAAGTGATTATTGTTGTTGGTGCGACATCACATTGATTTGGCCTACACATCCTAAGACCAATCTGTTCTCGTCATTGGTCTCGGTTGTTTTGTCAAAAAAATAATGATAATAATAATTTACTCCACCTTTGCCCTGTTGATTCCCAGCACCTCCTCATGCACGTACACTGACCACAGGTTGCATGTACACTCAGTAGTGTGTGGTGAGAATTCCCAGCAGCCTCTCTGTTGGTTGTGTCCCAGTTCATGGATGGGCCCCCACATGCCTCTCTTAGCACAGTCAATGTTGACCAGTTCCTTTGCAGCGGGTTTGTGCACCATGATAGGATAACCTGCATGCATCCAACCTGCATGGAGAAAACAGTCTCATAAGGCTAGGGTGACACGTGTGTTGGGTCACTGTGATGAGCTTAGTTTTATACAAGTGCATCTAAAGAAAGCAAAAAATAATAGACATGATTCACTTTGGCCTGTGCTGTTGTAAAAGTTCTCATGAAGTATTTTTCACTGAGAGGCTCTGTAATTTTAAAGTATTGAGCCCAGGCCTCAACCGTTTTTTTTTTTTTTTATTACCTGCTGAGCAAACATTCATACACAGCACCAAAGCCAAGCACACTTACCGTAGGCAATCTGTACATCAGCTACAAAACGTTCCTTGCGACGAAATTTGTGTGGTATGACGGCCAGGTCAGCAATGGCCCTCATGATTTCATCCCAGAATGCTGCCAACTCATCAGGGCGATCTAGGGTCCGAACAGCATCTGATGGTACAGTAAGGACGATGTTTTCAAACTCCAACTCTGCCCAGGGTGCAGGAGCTGTGCGCAGCAGTGACCAATCAGCAGCTGTTGTCACACCTTAGGAGAAGACGGCAATATATGTATGAGCGTAATCAGAAGTGAGTTTGAATTTGTGTCATTTTGAACACTGACCACATTTGTTATTAATCATTACATGCCTGCCCTTCATCATCCCATCAACCCCTTGGTGTATAAACCTACTTGCCTGCACTTCCCCTTTGCCTGATTGTCTACTGAGTTCTCACCTTTGATTCTTGTTTGTACACCAGCCCATATTCACGTGTTTTTGTCTTATTCCCAAATAATTGCCTTTCACCTTACCTGCTTTGCCTCTGCGCCCTGTTTTTGAGTCCTCACTATTGCATCAAAACTTCACTCATTCCTTGTTCAGTACCTAAGATATGACCTTTTATGTTGTTAAGCACTCGTGAGCTTCCTGCTGACCTTGGTTCTTGCATCTTCATGACCATGTGCCCAGACAATCGCCTAAGGGAGCACCAAAAAGAAGTGAGGCTTGCCAGTGCTGCACTCCCACCCCAAGGCACCGCCCAGCCGCTACTTCTCTTGCATTTCACCTTCTGACTCCATTTCTCAGTCTCCATGGGTCCCTACTAGCTGTGACTGCCCCTAGAGACCTGGCAATGCCTACAACATTTCTTTTGGTCTGTCTTGCAAAAGGAATGGGTTACCATTAAAACAAAGGAAACTGGTGAGCAAAGCCTGCAACCCAGAAATCCCTCTCACCTCGCGCTCCAAGTTCAGCTGCTTCTTCCAGAAAAGTCATTTACCAGTTTCACCCATCGTGGACTCACCAGATTTATAATACGGTGCAGGTACAGCCATCTGCACGATGACCTCTACTCCCTCCACTTGTGTTCTGGGTGGAGCTATCAGGTAGATGAGTCCCCCCCAGAGGTTCCACACCTGCATCATCCCTGAGGTTACAGAAAATCGATCATGAACACGTGGTGCTCTCTTCAAGATTCCAGCATTCAGGTGGTCTGTTTGACAGCCTATCTGGACCTGAGGAAGACATGGATCATATATTTCTGCTTTGAAAAGTACAGTACACTTTGTAATACAGTTGCATGTATGAGTCAAAAGTTGCAAGACAGATGGATAGATGACGTGGAAGCTATATTATTTGATGTATAACTGCTAACAGTCATAATCAGTCTATCGGTCTGCATAGGAAGCTCAAACTCTAGCTGCTTTATGGGATATGATGGCTTGATTTGTTGGTAAAACGATTTCTTTTTTAATTAAGATAATAAAAAAGCTTAACCCATTTTAGCGTTCTATCTCACTTGACCTTACAAACTCAGATATTTAAAGGCAATTTTGTGAACTGTACCATCCACCCCTTGTTGACGATCTCTTCAGGCATAGCCATGTAGGTCCTCATACCAGGCGAGAGGTAGAGACCTGTGCTGATCCACACTTCCCCTCCTGAAACACACACAGATACACACAAGATCTGTATATTAATGCAATGCAAAAGCACAAAGATTACAGCAGTAGGTACTCAGTTGTGCACACAAATCATGTCAAAGGAACGACAAAGTAATTATTAGTGATTATAAATCCCTCGTGAATTTGCCCACATGATCGAGGTCTGACCTGCTGTCTCAATATCAATCTTGAGTCTGTAGTTGTAGACAACTGGCATCAAGGGATTATCCTTGATGAGGTAGGGCAGGAGGGCATCGGGATCTGGGGAAACCTTATATACCCCCGCCCCTACACTGAGGAGCAGGTGGTCTTTGGGACTCTCCACAGGGCATTTCTCACACACCTTGAAAATGAATGATGAAAGGTATAACAGAGGTTGCTCACAGTGTCACAGTATCTGCAGCGAAGAAAATAATATCACACTCTAAGCAGACATACTATGGTCCTATGAAGTGCAATTATTTGTACTAGAGAGGATGGTGACTGCACCCTCTCTGGTCCCCACCTGTGGCATGCCCGTCGTCTTTAAGATCTCAGTGAGGGAGGACACGACTTGTGTATAGGAGGAGCAGTCATGAGCCTTCATGTGCAAGTACCTGCCACAGTCCCCACCAAGTCTTTTAAGGCATTTCTCCTCCTGCTCTGTAAGTTCCTTCCCCTGGGTCACATGATCAGCAAAGCGGTGTAGAAGGTGACGAAAGTGGTAGGTGTCTTTGACAGCCTGGCTAGGTTCAGGTGCCTTGTAGGAACCTTCCCCGATCATCCTCCCCAGCACGCTCAAGCCCATTTTGTTCAGGATCTTGTTTCCTGAAAGACAAATAACTTGGCTTGATCTATGTGTTGCATGGATTGAAGCATTATGGGTAGGGTTTGACCAAGCAGCAACTTCTCAGGCTGAAAAATGAAGACAATGCGTAAATGCTAATAACTGCAGTTCACTGAATGGCCACTTGAGGCTGACTCTAAAACAGAGTAAATCAGTAAAGACCCCCATAACCAACATGTTTAAAGCCTGGTACAAAAAAAACAAACAGTATTGGTCTCTATGGCTAATTTCAGCACTCATTAAAATTGTACAGTTTTCTATAACTTGTCTGTTTACATTTAATTAAGGCTCAAAATTACACGTATCTGAGGGCGAGGCCCCTTTAAGTGAAAGACTGTCTGCAAGGCAGATAAGATCCACCCCTCACTCGAGGCTTCAAAACAGCAGTCCACAAACCAGTCGGTCCACAAACCTTCACCAGAGTGTCTCGTCTGTCTTGTCTGAGTTCTTTGTCCCAGTGTTGTTGTTTTGTTTTTTCAGTTCAGCTGCCTGTTTCACTTATTCTAGCTGTTCTGCTTGTTCACTTTGTGTGCATATGATTTGTTGCTTTGCCTCTGTGTGTAGCTTTATCTTTAAATATTGTACATGATACCTCGCAAATGAAATAAATAAATTAATATGTCATATTATCATTGATTGAAATTGGCAGCATACGTTAAAACTCTTGTGGCACATTATCATACCTTCGAAATCTGTCATTGTGTTTCGTCCAGGGTGTGTCTGTGCCCAGCTCCAGGCATGTCCACCGATCAGCAGGCCTCCTCCCTCTGCTACAAACTCTTGGATTTCCTCTGCATGACGATCATTGTATGCTGTACACACAAATACACTCAGATCTTTCCTGAAGTTTGTCCTCTCACAGTTAAACTCTGACTTGCTGTAGAGGTTTAAGGCATGGCCGAGATCTGGAATCACACCAACTACCCCATTCCGGCCATTGTCCAACCAGCGAAGGGCATTGTTCCAAAATGGAGCCAGTGTCTGTGATAAAGGTTTATCCAAGAAAAACAGCAGTTAATTAATCACTTAAAAGCGATAAATTAGCAAAAAAAAGCTTTCTGGCAATAACACCGTTTATTAACTAAACCTCACCTTCCAACTCAGAAGTCCTTCATGTGTGATCACAATGACTCGTCCCTGCCCATAGTAGCTTCCTGCCAAAAATGCTCTTTCATCCTTGGTGGTGCCAATGGGGAAGGCTAGTGGACCGTGGACTAGGACCTCTGAGGCTATTACCCCATTCTTGAGGTCAAACTCTGACACCCCCTGGAGTAAGAACTCTAGGTCATCCTCAAAATCCATGCCAATCCTAAATTTTAAAGGGTGAAGAGGGGAGGTAAAGAGAGATGCCAGGTATGAGTGTGTATTTGAGAGTTAATCGTATTCTGGCATTTTCGTTGCTATTCTCTACTTGTCCACTAGATGCCTCTCTGACTTTTCCACCTCCCAATTCCACGCTAGAGGCTGTTCTGTCAGCTAGTGGTACCACCATATCAAGGCTGACATACCTCAATGATCATTGCATAGAATGCCATGAAAATTTGTTCAGGCGCTCATGGTGATGAGGGGGTGATTTGGTGACCCTCTGACTTTTCGTTGACATTTTTTTAGTGAAACATCTTAACAACAATTAAAGTGATTGGTATGACATTTGGCACACAGTCTCACGATGCCCAAAGGTTAAATCCTAATATCTTTGCTGCAGCTCTGACTTTTAATCTACCACCAGCAGGTCAGTGTTTTTACTATCTAGTAAAATATCCAAGCCTCTGTGACTGAAATTTGTGCTCCCCAGATTTTTCCTTCGGCACCACCATGAGGTTGAGATTTTGAACAAAATAAATCAACAGCTATGGACTGCCACTTAATGTGGTTTAGAACTAATTTGGTATTCATGTTCCCCTCAGGATCCATTGCAATAACTTTGGTGATCCCTCGACTTTTAATATGTCCAATGCTTTAGTTTATGACTGTCTGCAAAATTAAAGTACTCAGCTGTACTTTGTGTTAAGCGCTAATTAATAAAAACGTTAGATGCTAAAATGGTAAACTAAGATGGCAATAATGGCAAACATTATACCCGCTAAGCATCAGCATGTTAGCATTGTTATTGTGAGCATGTTAGCATGTTAGCATGCTTATGTAACATTTAGCTCAAAGCTAAAGGGACTCCCAAAAAACAACACACTCACTAAAAGCTGCAATTTTTACAACCTGTTCAAATGTGCAAAGAAAATAGAAGTATACACTCACCCTACAGCCATGCAGGAAGATGGGATCTGAGGAGGGACCGCCAGGCATTCTACCTCACCATAACGCTCAGAGAAGTAGATCCCTGCCACACCAGAGACCTTATTCCCTGCAAACTGAAGCAGTGTGTTCTCCTTAGGATGAGTTGAAGCCCAGTGCCATGCCTGCCCCCCAATCAGCACTCCTCCTCCAGCTTTAAGAAATGCTACCAGGTCTTCCGCTTCTGCATCTACGCTGTAGGCATCGGTCACATACACACCAACCCCCAGTTTGTCACTAAAGGCCCCCACAACTGTGGTTTCAAAGATGGACATGCTGAGGTTATGTGCAACTCCCTCAAGGTGTTTGTAGACTCCAACAGACAGGTTCTCAGATCCATCTCCTCTCAGCCAGGTCAGAGCATTTTCGACCAGATCAGGAAAGGCGGTCAAGTAGCCCTCATGACCCAGGACCACAATCCTCCCACGGCCATACAGAGAAGCAGCCATCAGGACCTGGCCCTGGCTGTTCATTGCTAAAGGAAAGGCATGGTCTCCAGTTAGAACCAGGACACTGGGAACACAGGGGCCACAGATGTCCAGGTCTCTCAAGCCTTGCATCAGGGAGATGTAGGCCCCTTCCCAATGATTTTGGGTGGGCTGCTCGGACATGGTGAGACAGACTGAGGCTCTGAAGATCAGATGAAGAGGAGGGTGGATGGCAAAAGAAAGCTGAGCTGAGTCAGATGTAGATTGTGTTAGCACAATTGGTCGTAGATGGATGTTTGCTGTCAGTCAGGGGAGAAGAAAGAGAGATTGAAAGAAAAAATAAAAGTAGTAGGCATGTAACAGTTAGAACAACAAAATATCAATTTCCAGCTTCAAAAACAAAAAGTGAATCTGTTCATTTTCATCACAAACAAAACCAACATAAAGCAGAGTTACATTTTTACCTGGGAGTTAAGTTGTCTCTCTGGTTGTATAATTACACTGTCATGCAACAGCTTCTGAGACAGGCAGTCCTCCACAAAAACCTCCTGACAGGACAAAGGAGTGATTAAAAGAGAACAACCACAGAGGGGACTGTTTTAGTAAAAAGGTAAATACAATAAGAGGAGGGACTTAAGTCTGGTAAACCCAAGGCTAAGACACATCACGGGACAAAAACCCCTTTCTGTGTCTGTTTGTTTTAATACCTTAAACCTTAGATTTAAGGCTTCAAACAGGAGATACATCCTGTCTGTGGGTGTATAGGCATCCTGTTCATCCAGTCAGAGAGAGTCAATATTTGTAGATATTGGGACTTAAATGATAACATATTGACTGTGTATTTTTCTACTCTACCACAAAGCTAAGATTATTAAAAATACCTAGCATGATATCGTCACAAAATCACCAAGTCTGTGGCCATACTGTCAGATGTAGCACTCAAAGCATCAAGGAACTTCATGACTTAGTGGATGATCAAAGTTCAACTCATAAAGCTCACGTATCTAATATCCAAACAAAACTAATAGCTTTTATTCAGCTATAGATAACATATTGTGGATGTTTGCTTGCTTTGTGGGAACACTTCAGGCCTGTGTTGGCCTGATCTACCTGATAATCATGATAATCAGACTTGGCTCCAATGGGAACAGGACTTGCACTGCGTCACTAACCTCTGCAAACTGTAACCAAGTAGGGGATTCAAACATATCTAAAGCCTTCAATTGATAAAGTGGAAGCACCATGGGCATATATTTTTCCCTCAAGACTTAAAATAATGGACACAAACTCCTAAACTCAATGTTGGAACGGTTGTAGTGCGACACATTTCGTCAAGAATAGAAATTCTCTCTTTCTATTACCTCCTTACTTTTGTTCTGTGTCTGTGTTACGCACATCCATCTGGCTATTTCGAGGTCTGTATTTTTGTGGGAAAATTATAAATCTGAAACATCAACAGTGAAACAAAGTGCAAAAACACACAAAACAAGAATAACAACTTGCACACAGAAAAGAAAATCCCTTGAGAAACCTGTTCTTCCTGTCTTGGAGCACTGTATGTCGTCTGCTGACCTACAACTCTGCAGGTATTATGGAGTCCTAATCTTTAAGTTAAATTTAGTGCACAGCTGCTACACTGTATGAGGCCAAACATTGCATTGCTGTGCATTAGAAAGATAATTGTTTAAGCGATACAATATACTGAAATCAAATCATAGTTAATGGCAGCACAATTGGTAACATTATTTTTACTCAGACTTCTGTGTAATCAGATCACTTCACTCTGAGCACACACATATACACACACACACACATACACAAATCTGGTGATCACTAAATACTTTTGTGACGTCAAGAAAACAAGCTTGTTCTGACACAAACAGATCATGTTTGCAAATACAGATAAGAATATACAGATACCTGGCTGAAGTTAAGGACAGGGACCTCTGGGTGAGCAGGCTCTGTTCTCCAGAATGTGGATATCCTTTTATACTTCAATCCAGTGGCAGTTTCACTACTGTGGTCAATTCTGCTTCCAGTTAGTCACTTAACAACTGCTGAGATAAGTTTTGGTAAGTCTATTGAACCACATTGTCAGAATGATGAAGCCCCCACTGGACAAGCTTAACTATCTCCCTCCAACTGGGTGGGGTGGCTCTCTCTGGGTCAACTGGGAGAATTCCCCCAGCAGTTCTCCACTAAACCAGCAGGGGAGCTGCTTTACCACGACTGCAGGGCGGTAAACACTGAGACTGGAAGGATAACATACTGACTGTGTCACATGTGTGTATTATTTTCTGCTCTCTCACAAAGCTAACATCTTCACAAATTTCTAATGTGATATTGTCAAAAAAGACTTAAAGGTTGTAATTTAAGAGGAGAATTTAATCTTAAAAAACAATGTGTTTGTTCAACTAAGAAGAGTCCGTGTGTTTCATGTGTATGGGATAGACTTGTGGGATGGGCTGTGTGATGAGTTGAAACAAAGCACATAAAAATCAATTTAAAAAATTATACAAAAAATATATTTTTGGCAGATATATAGACGAGGAAAGGTTGTGTTAGGTGAGTGCATATTTATTTTGTAACACTGGGTGATGCTTGGACTGTAAATAAACTGGGTTTATTACTTATTTATTTAATTGGGTGTTATATAGACTGGGGTAGTTGTATATTAGTTGTAAGTAAATTTGGGAATTTGTTGAAATAATGTACAAGTTACAAAAAGAAATGTCAGAAAAGGGTAGGAACATTTGAGTTTTTACTTCTACCTGCTTCTTTTCAGACACTTATCTTTGTCTTATTTGTTTTTATTGTGTTATTTTTTTTTTTTTTTTTTTAAATAAAGTCATTCATTCAAGAACAAATGGATGAATACAAAGAAGTAGCACAGCGGTGATGTAAAATGTTTATTAGTGTCTTTTCCATTGGCAGTTAAGGCAAATATTACTGTCATGAAATTAAAGATGTGTTTAGCCTACAAAGCTTGACTAACCTACTGCAAGCTGGAGCAACAGAGCAAATTTTAAAGCAGGAAAAGATGCAGCTTACCTACCCACACACCCACATAATGAGTGTTATTATGACCCTGAAACTGAACATTTCTTTTTCCTATAAATGACTTTAAGTATTACTGTGAAATTAAATAACTCCGTAATGTGTAAAGCACAGGTTTTAGTGCCAGTGCATTTACCAAGGACTGAGACAGGTGGAATAAAGCAGGTATAAAGTGGCTGAATGTGAGCGTTGACCGCAGCAAAGGTATTTTTCTAACTTAACTTCAATATACAAATAAAGCCAACCTGGTAGCAACTGTGTTTATTTATTGACCTCTTGGTTTTTGTATTTTGGTTGTCAGTATTTCAAAAATCCATTTTCAGTTGAGCTACTAAATTTAGAAGCTGTATATATCTTGTCAGTTTTGTAAGTGCTGTTTTTTCTTAAATATTGAAATACACATGGTAAAAATACAACAACAACAACAACAAAGAAGGATGAAGGATTTGGTACTCATTGAACCCATCTCTCCGAGCTTTTATTCAGCAGAAGTTCAGTCATACTTGACCATGGGGTGGTCGCTCCAGGGAGGCAGGTTGGAGAGTTTCTCCTCAGTGGCTGTTTCAATGGGCCAGCCCCAGGACTTACAGAATCCACACAGGTTCATCCCCACAGCCTGGGAGAAAGTCTCAACGTACAGGTTCATCTTCCCTTTGTTGTCGTTCGGAAAGGTGCTCATCTTGTGGTAGGCAGCAAACACCTTCTTAAAGGCATCCCAGCCAAACTTTTCCTGGAGCTACATGGAAGGAGAGGATTTGCCAAGAGCTGCCATTAAACCACAGACATGAATCTCTGCCCCATAACTGGGAATGATGTACAAATGCTTCTAAAGAAAGACAATTTAAATCAGCCTGATGGTGGCACCAAACAGCTAAAAGAGAAACCTTTAAAAGGCTGACACATCCTTGACCCGAGTCTGACTTGAATGAGACACATATCCAATAAAGGTGGGCGATATAGCCCTAAAATAATATCACAATATTTCAGGGTTTTTTTGTGATAATGATATTCTTGACAATATGACTAAATATTAAATATTAAAATATTAGTAATATAATTAGTAATAAGTAATATTTCATAATTAATTTAGGAACATATTGCAACAAAATAAGTGATATAGTTTTACAGTTTGCTCCAAATATTCAGTAAAAACTAAACAAAAATGATCTCTCATTTCTTTAGTTTGTGAACAACAACAGTAACTCAGAGTGAGATTCAGATTCTGTATATAATATTAATAGTTCAACAAAATAAAATATACCACATATTACACATTTTAACAGCTCCCAAATACAAAAATGTCCCCTGGGATCTATATATATATATAAATCAACAGGTGATTTCCGTCTTTCAGCAAAATCTTGAATGATTGAATTGTGTTTTTTCTAATCATCACGCTGTAACCTGTGACAGGCTGTTATGACACTACAACTATCACGCATTCACATGTACGTAGTTTTTTGTTGAGCCACAAGCATCACGTAGGTTTACATTACAAAAGGTTTATGACAAAACCACTTGATGACATCTACTCCCGTGTGTTGCACAGGAGAGAGGAGAGGGAGAGACACTGTGCTGCTGCTGCCAGAGGAGCCACTGAATGAGTTCCTTCTGAGTGGTAACTCACTAAAAGAGTCTGAGAAGTCCGGGGCTGTTCATAAAACATTCAGGACCCCACAGTTTATTCAACACTACTGAAGCTGCTCCTCTTTTTGGAACCACTGCGGAGTCTGTAATAATTTCACTTTCAGCCATGCTTGTTGTTGCCATGCCATAACAGTATTACATCAATATCAACAATTTCGAAATATCGTATCACAATATGAATTTTTCATATCATATTAGAAATTATACCAGTATTATCGTGAATGAGATGACATGGCACACCCCTAATATCCAACTCAATATGCCTTACAAAAAGCCTCTTGGATAATAAAAGTCCGTCATAATGGATTTTTGCTAAGTTATTCATTTAATCTGAAAAACAGTAATATTACATCTACTTTAGGGTTTCCATCGTATTGGCAACAAATTTGGTATACAGCCTATAATTGGGCAAGACCAGTCTAAAAAAATGGCTGCCATCATTAAAAAAAGCACCGCAGAGCTCTGGGCTGAGCAGGAAATAGGTTCTAACTCACTGACCATTTGTCAAACCATTATATTTTGCTAGATATCTTCAGTCACTGTCCGAGAATAGGCCGGCAAAAGCCTTTACAACCTGATACATGGGGAGCACCACAATGCCAAATCTCTAAACCCTGTGGACAGAATTTGACCAACTTTGGCACACAAATGTTGTTTCACACTCAAATTCTCTTTGAGCAATAATGATTTATCTCAGTGGAGACATCCTGCACTATGTTCTAAACGTACATATCAAGGTATGTGTGGGGCCAATTCTTAAAGCATGTGTGCATCACATATTGGTTCATAACTCAACCTGAACTTCAAAAATCTAAGTCAAAGCACACTGACTATTCTTTAGACATATAGTTAAGTATTATATCTAGCAAATAGAGGCTTAGTGATTGGTATCCACATGTCGAAGTGCCCTTGGACAAGACAGACGAGTGCCTTGCATGGCAGCTCTGTCACCATCTCTGTGCGAGCGTGTGTATGAATGGATGAATAAGAGGCCAACTGTACATAGCTTTGTTTGTTAAAGTAGAGAAGCACTATATACTGTAGATTAGTGATATGTTGAATGAATTTTGGTGAACATATTTTAAGCATTTTACACTAGTGCTGTTCTCTAAAGTTTCTTCTTACAAATCAGATTTGACAAATAAAAGGTTTGAAGTTGGAATTGTAGCTTGCGCCTGTATCTTGATTATTTTTTTGTACGTTTTCAGAGATGCAGTTGTGTTTAAATGCGTACTACTCTGTGTGATAAAGCTTCTCTATAGAATGTAATATACAATAATTATCTCTCACCTGCAAGTATGTCTCCAGGGCCACCCACATGCTCCAGTCTTTGAGGTTCTTGCCGCCCTTGACGTACTGCTCTGCTCGGTTGTTTCGATTTTCTGCAGTCAGAGCTCCATGAGCCTGCATTGAACAAGAATGAATGATATGAATGGTAAACTAAGGAATCCCAGTTGTCTTTTGTAACATCTATTGATAAGAAAACACGTCACTACACATGTTAAGACCAACTTTTCCAATAATTGGTCTAAGTTTATTGTCAACCAAAAATGAAAATAATTCACTCCACCTTTGCCCTGTCGATACCAAACAGCTCCTCGTGCACGTACACTGACCACAGGTTGCATGTACACTCAGTAGTGTGTGGTCGGAACTCCCAGCAGGCTCTCTGTTGGTTGTGTCCCAGTTCATGGATGGGCCCCCACATGCCTTTAGTCCTAATTTGCTCAGGGTTGACCAGCACAGGTGCTGAGCATTTTTGTGCCATGACAGGATAACCTGCATGCATGAAACCTGGAAGGATAAAAATCAGGAAACCAAACAGTGTTATCAGTGGATCTCCAGAGTTCCATATCTGTGGTAGAGAAATATAGTCGGACGATATATTTTAATTCAACATGCTTTCAGAGCAAAGCATAAAAACACTGGCCTCATATTAGCATTTGTTGTTGTTACTAAACTCCTAATCCAAATAGTAATTTTAAGCTCTTTAAATTCCAACAGTCTGCCCACAGGCTCCACTGCTTTGTTTAAAGGTTCTGTATGTGAAATTTAGAGCATGAGCCCTGTGGATAGCAGCATCCTTAGCATTCGCCAATACTGCCTATACCCAGGGCCAGCAATGATAGCGCCAACTCTCCAGTTCCTCCTGGCTAACGCCATTAGCCGTTGTTAGAGCTGTTTATGGAGTAAGGACTGTTAGCTGTTAACCACTGGCTCAGCCACCTCCATGTTGAGAAACGTGTGCAGGCTGGCTAATTTGAAATGATGTTTTTTGGTGAATTGAAAACTCTTGATCGATGTCTGTGTATTTGTGTTATATCTATGATAGACTGGTGACCTGTCAATGGCGTACCCTAGCTCTCAGTCATTGTGAGTTAGGACAGGCTTCATCTTTGTGAGATTCAACAGGATAAACTAATAAGAAACAGGCATATAAAGTTTTAAAGCCAAATGAACTTACCATGGGAAATCTGCACATCTGCTACAAAGCGTTCTTTGCGAGGAAATTTGTGTGGTATAACAGCCAGGTCAGCCATGGTCCTCATGATGTCATCCCAAAGCGCTGCCACCTCATCAGGGCGATCCAGGTTCCGAACAACATCTGATGGTACTGTTAGGATGATGTTTTCCATCTCCAGCTCTGCCCAGGGTGCAGGAGCTGTGCGCAGCACTGACCAATCGGCAGGTGTCGTCACGCCTGAAAGAACAAAGAGATGGGTGCATTCAAAACTGAGTGACAAGCTATTTTGTTATTCCACAATTATTTTTTCAGTTTAGTTTGAGGGAACCTTTTTAAACTTTTTTGAAGGACACCTGCTAAACTGAGATTGTTTCACTTAAATTGTCCCGGCACACAAGTGATGTTTGATGAGAACTAATGAGATTACATTAGATGTTGAACAAGATTTTCTTACTTGGACTTCCCCAAATCCCAAAACAACCACATGTATCCCTACAGGCCTGTCATTTACTCACATCAGCAGACACAAACCACAGTGTCACCCTCAACAGACTCACCAGATTTATAATATGGCGCAGGTACAGCCATCTGCACTGTGACCTCTACCCCATTCAGTTTTGTTTTTGGTGGAGCCACCACGTACATGAGTCCCCCCCACAGGTTCCACACCTGCATCATCTCTGAGGTTATTGGAAATCGCTCATGAACACTCGGTGCTCTTTTCAGCACTGGAGATTTGAGATAGTCTGTTTGACAGCCTATCTGGATCTGAGGAAGACATAGATCATGTGTTAATGATCGTGTGTAGGCCTGGGTGGTTCATTATACTTTTATAACCTTCCTGACTCAATTTTGTGTATAGCACCTTCCAGTCCTTGTTGACGATCTCCGCTGGCAGGGCCATGTAGGTCTTCATACCAGGAGAGAGGTAGAGACCTGTACTGAACCACTCCTCCCCTCCTGACACACANCTTGTTGACGATCTCCGCTGGCAGGGCCATGTAGGTCTTCATACCAGGAGAGAGGTAGAGACCTGTACTGAACCACTCCTCCCCTCCTGACACACACAGACACAGCAGCAGCAAAAATTACACTCAGTCAGATTTACTTGTATGTAATATTTTCCAGATGCATTTCACCATTCTTCTTCTTAACAGTGACTATGTTTACATGCACACAATATTTTGACTTTTTCCCTTATTCCAAAAAGGACAACATTCCTGCTAAGCCGTTGACATGGCTAATCTGGTCTGTAGACAAGTGCACTGTAATATTTTACTGCGACAGATTGAATTCAGTTTTGCGTGCAAATTATGTTGATAAAACACAATATTATTTAGCCCACAGGATGAGCTCATAAATAGCTCATGACGACGAGGTCTTACCTGCTGTGTCAGCATCTATCTTGATCCTGTGGTTGTAGACAACTGGCATCATGGGGTTTTGCTTGATGAGGTAGGGCAGGAGGGCATCAGGATCTGGGCTAGCCTTATACACCGCTGGCCCCAGAGTGAGGAGCATGTGGTCTTTGGGATTCCTCACAGGACACTTGTCACACACCTTGAAAGAAAATGCATCATCAGAGATGTTGCAGTGACAGTTCTGTCTGGTTGTCAGCTTTGTGCTGTTCCATTGTTCTATATTTTATAAAGCTCTTATGTCATTTTGTCTACACACCTGTGGCATGCCTGACTTAGTCAAGATGTCAGTGAGGGAGGCCACAACCTGTTTATAGGAGGGGCAGTCATGAGCCTCCATTGTCAAGTAGGTGGCACAGTCCTGGCCCAGCTTTTTAAGGTTTTCCTCTTCCTGTTTGCTGAGTTTCTCCCCCTGGGTCACATGACAGGCAAAGCGGTGTAGAAGGTGGCGGAAGTAGTAGTTGTCTTTGATGGCCTGGCTTGGCACAGGGGCCTTGTAGTTCCCTCCTTTGATCATTGCACCCAGCAGGCTCAAGCCCATTGGGTTCAGGATCTTGTTTCCTGAAAGACATTCCAAAAAAACCCAGGTTGATCCACTGTGTTTTATTATTCAAACTTGTTTTTAGGGTGGGACTGGGTAGGGTATAAGAACTTTTAGATTTAAGTTTATGTAGGTGTGTTACATCAAACAATAGGTTTCTTGTGGTTGGTTTGTTGCAGAGTCAGCTATGTCTATGGCAAATTAGCCCAGGGCTTGTCTGACTCATGGTTGATGTCATTTATGGGCCATTGGTCAGGATGACATTCAGCACCTCCAAATCTGAGGCCATGGTTCTCTGCCAATGCGTTCAATTATCCTGGGATCTTGCTCATGAATGAGAGTAGAATAGCGCGTGAGATGGATTGGCGGTTTGGTGCAGCTTCTGCAGTGATGCAGGCGCTGCGCCAGACCGTTTTGGTGAGGAGGAAGCTGAGTCGGAAGGTGAAGTTTTCGATTTAGTGGTCCACCTATGTCCCAACCCTCTCCTGTGGTCATGAGCTCTTGGAAAGAATGTGATCATAGATACAAGCGGCCGAAATGAGTTTCCTCCGTGGGGTGGCTGGGCTCAGCTTTAGAGATAGGGTAAGCAGCTCGGACATCCAGAGGGAGCTTGGAATAGAGCCGCTGCTCCTTCGCATTGAAAGGGGTCAGTTGAGGTGTTTCCAGCATGTAATCAGGACGCCTCCTGGGCGCCTCCCGTTAGAGGTGTTCTGGGCACGTCCCACTAGTAGGAGGCCCTAGAGCAGACCCAGAACACGCTGGAGGGATTATATATCTCATCTGGCCTGGGAACACCTTGGGGTCCACCAGGAGGAGCTGGAAATTGCTTGGTGCTTGGGACAGGGACATCTGGGGTACTTTGCTTGGTGAGCTGCCCCCACGACTCAGCCCCGGATAAGCGGATGAAAATAGATGGATTGAATAAGCCTACAAATACTGTATTTCCAGAGGATATCACAATAAAGCAGTGGCTCTCAAGCTAAGCTTTTTGCCCCCATGTGCACAAATATATTCCAGGTTGCCTGAGTATGCATTTGGTACAGGATTCTGAATCTTTTAAGACAATATTCTATGAAAAAGTATCAAGAAACATATTTGGAGTAGAAGTGTCATTTAGAAACAAAAACTGACTTGTCCGTGATATAATCAGGCATCATTCAAGGGCTCCAAGGCCAAAAACATAAAAAGCAATACAGTGCTAGATAGCACCTCTAATGGTTCATATAGCACTGTAGCACTGTTTAAAAGATGGGTCCCGTACAGCATTAAAACAGGTTCCCCTTATGATGATGAGCTAAAGAACTGCTTTTGTGTTCTTCTAGGACCATTTTTGTTTAGAGTGTAGCCATTTTCAGCAGCAAGTTACACTGGCATCCTGATGTTGGGCTGCTGCTATGCACCTTTGGCTTGGCACGTTCAGTGACTCACACTAACACAGCCCCTGGATCCAGATAAGTCATGTCATGTGGGCCAGGACCACACAGTTCCCCAGGCTGTTCACATCACAGTTTCTCTGCGATGCCCAGTGCCTCAGCCGACCTGCTGCCCAGTACTCTGGCTTCTCTGCAAATGTATTCTGCTTCCATTAAACAAACCAGCCAGCATCTTCTTTGCATGCCTGTATTTGGCACCTTCCTCTGCAGCAACTCCACCAACTCCAGTGGTCATAATGCTGGGGCGCCACAAGGGAGCACTATTTCACCAGGTTTATTTACCCTCTACACTGAGGAATGTCGCAGCAACACATCTGATCATGATACTATTAAATTTGCTGATGGCATGGCATTCGTGGGTTTGATGCCTTGACATTGATGTTTGTTTGTTGTCAGTGTTATTAAAGTTGTGATAGTAATATTAAAAAAATCTAACCAATCTCGTCATATCTACTTCAGCTGGTTGTCTCTTTTTGGCACCAGTACACTCCTTCGAAACTACTTGTTGGGTGGTTAATTTCCAACATGATGAAATGTTCCAAACCAACAATCCAGCATCCACCTTACAATGTGGTCATGTCGTATAAACTTCTATTTTTTGAGCATCTATCCTGAAATCTCTTCAGGCATCCAGACAGCCAACTCCGTCTCCGTCCCTCAGTCCCCCTGTATTCTCTACCTGCACTGTCACCCCTTTGTCCATCTCTGTAACAATTCAGTCCAATGGTTTCTCTGGAGCATATTTCCCTGTTAATCTCAGCCACCACAGCAGCTCAGTCTTTCTGGTCATCTTCAGTCAAATTTATGTAACTTAAGAGCTCCTGTGCTTAATTTGTATACACCTCCCTGCAGTAACTCTATAGAGCCTGGCAAATCCTCAGTTTCCTGGGCCTGTGTTTACCAGAGGCTGTTTGTCTTGAACAGGTCATAATCAAAGCTTTCAAGCATGTTTTTTTATGTGTTTCTCAGTTCAGTCAAGAACACTTTAGTCAAAGAAAACTTCCATTTGCAGTATTATATTTGGCTTTATGGCTCTGTTCTGGGGCCTCTCTGCCTTTCCTCGGGCCTACACAGAAAGCCTCTTCCACGTGCCTACATGGAAAGCCTAAGGTGGGGAGAGCACACCTGTCTACCCTTCCATGTGCCTGCATGGAAAGCCTGAGGCAGGGACAGCAGCAACAAAGACCAAACAGAAATGAGACTGATAGGTCAAACACAGCATTACAAGGAGGAGCTGGGGTGGAAGCAGGTTGTAAAGTGGCTTGCAGAGGAAACAGCAACAGTAGACAGGCCAGAGCAGTTTAAATAGGGCACCCTGAATGAGTTTGCCAATTGGTTGCATAGAAAGGAATCATGTGATCTATCAGCTGACTGACTCCCTTCCATCAATCAGCTGCTCCATCAGTTGATTGGGCTGTTTGAGATCAGCTGATGTAGCTGGGATGTGAGCTTTCTGTGCATTAGCCCATTTGTAAGGTTTTTATATCTACATTTTGACCCCTACACCCCAACCCCTTATTCCTGCTTATTCCTGTTTACCATCCTGTGCTCTAGCACATCGTTGCTTTCCGATGAAAAACACGTATCTCCACTTTTGACGATTTTGACTTTCTCCAGCGCATGGAGTGTCCATAATATTCCCTAGCAACCTTTAGTGTTGGATATCCAAATGACCAATGGAAAGATGTCTATTACATCATCTATTCAACACATATCTCCATTGGGTGTCAGAAGTGTCCATCAAAGCGCGTAAAAAGTCAAAATCATTCAAAGTGGAGATGCATGTTTTCCATCGGACAGCGACGGCATGCTACATTGTACTTGGCAAGGTAGAATTCATTCATTTTAAGCTGTGCATCATATGAGCCATTGCCTAGTACATTATCACACCAGCATGAGCACTTAGACAGTAGGATCTGGAATATGCTTAGCATGCATTATATTATATTATCATGGAATGAACTGGGCATGATGTAATAAAACTGGTGGTGCATTACCATACCTGGAAATTCTGTTAATACATTTTTGTCACGGTGACATTGAGCCCAGTACCAGGCATGTCCACCAATCAGCAGGCCTCCTCCTTCTGCCACGAACTCTAGGATTTCCTCTGCTTGTTTATCGCTGTACACTGGACACACATACACACTCAGGTCTTTCCTGAGGGCTGTCTTCTCACATTGCAACCCCGACTTGCTGAGATTGTTGAGGGGAATTTTCCCTTCCACACCAACGACGCCCTGCCGGCCTTCATCCAGCCAGTGAATGGCATTTTTCCAAAATGGAGCCAGTGACTGTGATAAAATTTTGACAAGGAAAGCAGTTTGTAAATCATGTAAAAAAAGATTTAGCAAACATCTCGTTATTCAGCACACTGCATATATCCAGCTGCTGGTGGCCAGAAGTTACAAAATCAATTTGACCTATAAAGGCAGAAATTCTAAAATGTGAGTGAATTTAATGTTAACTCTACCTCTCGTCCAATAAATCCCTCATGAGTGACCGTAATGACTCGTCCCTGCCCATAGTAAGTTCCTGCAATGAAAGCCTGTCCACTCTCATTGGTACCAATGGGGAAGGCAAGGGGACCGTGGACCAGGACTTCAGAGGATATCGCACTACCCTGGAGGTCAAATTCTTTAATTCCCTGAAGTAAGAACTCCAAGTCATCCTCAAAATCCTTTCCAGTCCTATTTTGAGAGGGTAAAGAGGGAGATAAGATAGGTATAGGAGACAAACAGGAAAAAGTGTTGGTACGTGGAATCGGGGAGGGTGCCGTTATGGTTTATGGGACTATGCCACAAACAGCCTTGTCATAGTTATAACGATATTATTATTATAGTAACTATATTATAATTCATCATATAATGTTATTTATTCAACTTTATTTTATCAGACTTTTTTATTACTTTATTTTTTTTTACTCAAGTTTGGAAAGTCAGAACTTTCTGGATATGCAATAAAAGAGAAGTACAGGATAAACTCACACTACAGCCATCCAGGAAGATGGGATCTCAGGGTAGACAGGCAGGCATTCCTTCACACCTCTGTGCTCAGAGAAGTAGATCCCTGCCACACCAGAAACCTTATTCCCCACAAACATCAGCAGCGTGTTCTCCTTAGGGTGACCCGCAGCCCAGCTCCATGCCTGCCCCCCGATCAGCACTCCTCCTCCAGCTTTCATAAATGCCACCAGCTCCTTCGCGTGTGGACCAACGCTGTATGCATCTGTCACATACACACCAAGCCCCAGTTTGTCACTGAAGGATCCCACAACTTTGACTTCGTAGCTGGACTTGCTGAGGTTATCAGCGACTGCCTTAACTTTTTGGCTGGTTCCAACAGACATATTATTGGATCCATCTCCTCTCAGCCAGGTCAGAGCGTTCTCTACCAGATCAGGAAAGGTGGTCATGTAGCCCTCATGACCCATGACCACAATCCGTCCACGACCGTACAGAGAGGCGGCCATCAGGACCTGGCCCTGGCTGTTCATTGCTAAAGGAAAGGCATGGTCTCCAATCAGCACTAGGTCACTGGGTACACAGGGGTTACGGAGGTCCAGCTCTTTCAAGCCTCTCATCAGGGCGATGTAGGCCTCTTCGTGAGGATTTTCAGCAGGCTGGTGGGCCATGGTGAGAGAGATCTATGCTCTGAAGGTTGGATGAAGAGGCCGGAGAGCAGAGTGACAGAAACAGGTGTATTAAGTCAGATGAGTTAATGCATTTAAACCTTGATGTTGTGTCAGTTAGTTGTCCTGTGGGAAAAGAAAGAGCTGCCAGAGATTAAAACAAAAAGCAATGTACTACTAATGGCTAGTTTGTTATACTTTTATACCAATACAACAAACAACAACAACAAAATGTAATTTTACAATTTATTCAGAGCCAAAAAGTTAATCGGCTGCTGTCCACCTGTTGTCACCAGAGCCAGAGAATAGTTAGCAGATTTTCATTACAACCAAACACAACCGAAAAGCACAAAGTTATTCTTGTCTTTACCTGAAAGTCAAGTTGTCCTTCTGCTTGTAGACAACAGCTTTCCAGTCAGGCGATCCACCAAGGACACTATCTGACAAGAGAGATGAGAGAATATAAATGAGGGTGAGAACAGGTTTGAGTACTTCAGGGGAAATCACAATAGGAGGACGGACTTCACACAGCACAACCCAGTGGCAGGCTTCTAATGAAGGCCAAGATCAGACATCGATGTAGCTTTAAGACGGGATGACAACACCTGTCTGTCAACATTCCCAGCTTGTGAATGTTTCACTGGTTACACATGTGGTTTTGGAAAGAGATACACCCTGGATAAGACTGTATAAAAAAACCTGCCTATCCAGTTGGGGTGTAAATATTTGTGAGGGCACAACACAACATTGTGGCTGTAAAATAAACCAAGGAGCTCATCTGTGTTTTTGTTACTTAAATGAACATATGACTAAACCATTTGTCAATTGATTAAATTATAGTCTAAGAACATCATCTTTCATATTGTTTATTGTGAACACTGCTGTCTCCTCTTTAAATGCCAGTGTTTGTATCTTTATTTTCAGACAATTAACACGTTATAAAAGTTATTAACAGTGAGAATGTAACATGCAGCCTAAGCACCATCAATAATGCAATAATAATAATAATAATAAAAATAATAATAATAATAATAAATAATGCAATGCAATGCAATAATAATAAAATGAACAAACCAAAGTATACTGCTACACAAAAAGTTTTTCTCTTACCAAACAGCCAACATGAGTTACAAAACATCGCCATCCTCTCATGGAGAAAAAATGGACACAATATACATATCGAAACACTTAACATTTTATATCACTAGACAGTAATAGGAAAAGATAACAAAGAGGTACTTCCTCCAATAAACAAACTCATGTGCATAGAAGCATCTCGCCCAAACCACTAAGTGCATAGCTTGTGCATTCATCATCTTGTCCTATCGACCCAAATGCAATCTGCTGTTGTATAACTGTTTTCATCGGCGATCCAAAATGAAAATCAGCAGAATTCTGCATGGGTTTTTTGTCATAGACGATATTCATTTATGACTACTCCGTACCCATTGGTAGCTTTGTCACCTTCTACCTATGCCAATCCTCAATGCCTATGTGCAGTTTCACATAGATTGACCACGTCAGTGAGTAGAAAAACGTGGGACAGACAGAATGACTGACTGACAGAATGACACACTGACAGTTTCCGTGATTATGTACAGCATGTCATACCATGACTTAGTCATACCAAAAATTAGAAAAAAAACAATAACATTGGTCCACAGGGGGAACCACAGCGATCGGTCACATTTTAGCCATTTTTAAGCATTTTTCTGTTGTTATAGCGCCACCCAGTTGCCAATTAGAGTTAAATTTCTCCAGTCACCTTGAAGCGTCCTGTTCTACATATCTACCAAGTTTAGTAAAAATCCATATGGTGGTTAGGCCTAGATAAGAAATAGCTCTCTAGCGCCCCCATTTTGTTTGATGGGGTCAATAATGGAGGGGTCCCCTCAGATTATGTGTGGTCATATGCCTACAAAGTTGCGTGGTGATGGGTGAAACCCTTGAGATGTTATACACCTTTATGTGATGAGCCACACCCTCCGCAATATTCATTGCCTTATAGAAGCTCAGTTTTAGTAAGTTTTTCAACTTTTGCCAAGAGGGAACTTTAGATATTGATTATGTTCACCCAGTTTCATGCAGATCGGTCAAACTTCCTAGGAAGAGATCGATTTTAAGTGTTTTCCAAAAATTCAAAATGGTGGAAAATCTATATAACCGGAAGTTGTGGGTTCTTGAAGCAAATTTGTTCCTCGTGAGGAGAGGCATCTCTGTGCAAAGTTTCATGTCTCTACGACATACGGGGCATGAGATATGCCCATTCAAAGTTTGCAATTTCAATCGGTTGCTATAGCGCCCCCCTTTGGCCAATTCATGTAATATTGCTTCATTCGCATCCTCCCATGACCCTCTACCACTGTGCCAAATTTCACATGGATTGACCAAGTCAGTGAGGAGAAAAACGTGGAACAGACACACAGACACACCCACAGAGTTTTCATCATTATGATAACAATTGTTTTTGAACAAAAATAACCTCACACAATACATTAAAACCTAAAATTGCCTCAAGCAGGCTAAAAGAACCCCTTTGTAGATTTTAGCAGAAACTATGAATCAGAAATTTTATTCAAAAAAGAAAAAAAAATCACTGTTACCGTATTAGACAATAAAGTTTAAAAAAGTGAGCTAACGTTAGTTTTACACACACACACACACACACACACACACACACACACACACACACACATATTTGTTGGAAAAGTCAATCGACAAAAAGTGGGACGCATGACCATTAAAATGGAAGGTTCAATACGGAGCAGAGAGAACAAAAATTAATAGTAAATCTTTTTTTTTGACATTTCTCCTGACTACAACACTAACTGAATACAACACACGATTGTCACACACATGCACAGGGAAGTGGAGGAAACATCAGGGTGTCTACAGATATAACCAAGTTAAAGACTTTTTAAGACCTTGTTAATTCCACCTTGCGTAAAATTTAAGACCAAACCTGCTAGATAGATAGATAGATAGATAGATAGATAGATAGATAGATGAGTTCAAGTTCAATGTGTTTCATGCAAAAAGAAAACAAAATCGCATGCTATAATAACAATTCTTCAGTCTGTCCAATGATTGTAAACAGTCATGAGGTCTGTCAGGCTGGAGACTTTTTCCGAAAAGATTTAAGACCCATCAAATCTGAATTAAGACCATTTAAAAAGCATTATATCAAGAAAATTTAACACACTTTATGGCTTTAAAGGACCTGAACACAACTTGGACATTCTGAGTTTTACAAATAGCATCTATATTTCTAAAATCTGCGGAGTTCTGCGGGCGCAGATTTTGTACGAGCCTGGTATGATACGACTTTTCTTTCTGACTCCTGTCTGACGGACTGGGTGGAGAAGTAGATAAGTGAGTCACTCAGGTGCTGTACCGCGCAACACTCCAAACTGAAACTTAAACTGTACAATGAATAACATTTCTGCTATTACAGAAAACAAAGGTAACTTTAAAGGTCTACTTTACCCTGTGGACGTGTCCTTCATTCAGTAAACAAATCAGGAATTATAGGAGTCGGCTACATGGTGTGAAATCCCGGAAAAGTACATATAATAAGCGGAACGTTTAATATGATCACGTTTCTAATCGACCGTATTTTTCTGATGGACTGCGGGTGCGCTGGAAAACAAGCCAGCTTCCGGTTTGTTGTTACTACGCTACAACAACCAACTCAGACACAAAGTTGAGGCAAAAATCATAACATTTCATTTTTAATATTTGCTTAGCCTCCTCCGTGTGTTTTATTTTTGTTTTTCGGTTTATTATTTTATGAATCGAGTCGTTCACACAGATACCATAAGCTCACAGTGAAGCAGCCCCGCTGTGGTGGTCGCTCGCTCGGATGTCTTGCACGCTGGTTAGCCCCTCTGGAGCTCGGGTCCCTCTGCAGGACGGACGAGCTGTGATTCTGGGCCGGGGTCCGGACACCGGGGTCACCGATAAGAAATGCTCCAGACACCAGGGTGAGGAGAAAGTCCACATACACACACTGGTGCTTCTCATGACACTGCACACATGAGCTATTTATGGTCAGTTTACAAAGAGACCCCTGTAGTTACGCTGATATCTGACCTGTGCTCTACGTGGTTTCCCAGAGGAAACATTTGCTGCACAGAAAAGTCTTTAGTTGTCTCATCAGAAATAAGTCAGCTTCTTTTTAAAAGATTAATTAACTTATCTAAGGAGCAACATTGTAAATCAGCAGTTCTTAAAGGGCAACTTTGGTATTTTTCAACCTGGCCCCCATTGTCTCAAGTTTTTGTGTCCAAGAGACTAACGGCTACATCAGTTTTTGGAAATGCTCCAGTATTTAGTGAGACCGCTACAGCTGCAATGTTTCCACACAGGGACATGGGGCAATTGTGCATACTCAGTTTACATCTGCTTAAAGTGTTTTTGCCACTGACAGGCTCAGATTGTTACTCTAAAGCCCCGTTTCTACCAAACACGTCAGGTACGGTACCTTTGGAACCAAAAGTAACCCTTCAGAAACGGTACCTAGACGTACCACTTAGTGTTTCCACTGCAAACAGTACCCACAAGTGTGGGCAGAGTTGTTGTCACTCAGTAGTCGGGTTTCCATCCACCTATTTTTGTTCGCATTTTCAAAGATTGTGAAAAAAAAACTTGAATAGAAATGCCAGAAATTCGAAAAAAGGCCGAAATATCGCAAAAAAGTTTTTACGTTTGGAGGGGGTGGAAAAGTCAGCATATCAATATTAGGAAAATGCGACTTTTGGCAATGGAAACAGATTTAGCAAATAAATGATGACATAGGCTACCGGATCCTACTTCTACTTCACACACACCTCTGTGAACTTAGAGAGAGGTAATTACTCCAGTGTCAGGTGAGTGTAGGCTATTTCACAACTTACCTGAATAGACTGGACGTGTTGAATACCGCTGCATCATGTGCGCTGCCTGGTGTACCAATTCAGTCATTACGGCTTTATGTAGGCTTCGCTGACATCTCTGATATGTGTGTTATGAGTGCTTTCGCATTTGCCAAGAAGTTCCCAAGGAATCTCTCCATCTCGTCGTAGTCATGGATGTGCCGGTGATTGTTTACATCAGTTGTGGACATGAGACCTCTTCTTCTACGGGTGTTCTTTTGCATTTTTATTTTTCATGAGAAGCGCCACCTTCTGCTCGACCTGTTGACTCCCAATACTTGCAAAACAATAATGAATGGAAACATGCATAAATTCGCATTTTCTTTTGCGCATTTTCACAAAATTTGCTTAAAATTTGTGATGCATTTGGATGGAAACCTAGTTAGTGTGTTTCTTGGTTCTTCACCAGTGACACAGAGGGAAGTTTGCACCTCATTTATCGTCCATAGAACGAGGCTGCATACCGACATTTTCAGAACAAAATAAAACAGGCTGCAGTGAGAGTCTCTCTCCATGGGATATTTAAAAATAGTAGGTTTGTGCATTCAGTCCTTCTCAGGCAAGCTCAGGGGTTTAATGTTGCCAGAGTCCAAGTAGGGATTAGAATATACGTAGTTAACATAACCCAGTCGAAATTAATATATGTAAACGCTTAAAGATCCACTCGTTATTAAATGTTTATGTCATATAAAAACTAAAGTGATTGTTAAAGTTTTCACAGTAAAATTTAAGGTGTGCTGATGGATTTACTTCATCAACTGATGCATTGAGTAACATTACAAGTTAACATTCCACCTTAAAAGTTGCCGGCAGTTTGCCCAGTGAATTAAATTATTTTTTCTCAGACTCCAGCTGCTGTGAGAGGCAGCAAAACATCCTTTCATTTCATAGTTACAGTCTACTAATAAAACTTTCCACGGTATGAACAGTGGTTACATAAAACCAGCCACAACTCAGTCCTGAGCAGACTGACCGTCCACTATTGATCCCTAAAGGATCCCTACAGAGATAGACTGTTGTTTAACCAGAAACAGCCTCAAAACCACCATCGCCAAAGCCACCAGACTCCATTTAAATAGACAGCAGTTTTATAATCGTGACACACTTAATTGAAGTCCATTAAAAAATAAATGAAACTCACAAAAGCTGTCTTGGTTCATCTTTTCTCAGTTCCAATAATCACCAGCTCTGGTTTCGGTGAAATAAACCCTTAATTCACCCAGTCAGATGAGACATATGCTGCCTCTATACATACTGAAAATACTGTTCATTTAAATGGCTCCAGAATTGGCCTCTTCAACCATCTGAAAACCCAAAACAGGCACCGTCCTGGTGGACCATCATCAACTTTGAGTGATCACTGATGAGTTGTGTGTATTTTTTGATGTACAGGGCTGCAGTCATTTTCATTATGGGTTAACATGAGTATGTGTGTGTGCATGTGTCTGTGAGTATACATGATGGTTATAATCTTTGTACTTCTTGCAGTGAAGGTGGTGGCTTGCTTTGCAGACCAGGATGTGGTTGTTACCCAGGTATGAAAACAAATACCTACCCACACCCAGCCCAGTGTGACAGTTCATGATTCAATTAATTTCCTTGTGCAGCTAGAAAAACACCCTGGGCAGACACACCCGACAAACACACTGTGTCACTATGGCTAAAAACCCAATAACGGCACACCTTTCTCTTTACTGCCTCAACACACTCTGGTTATGTAACATCCTATAAACTCATTGTATCTGTATAAAGGCTGGAGTCCAATGTTCATACATTTCTTATTTCCCTGCACAGCTGGGTCCCAACCCCAGTTTCCTGGACGGTGAGAAGCTGGGCAGGAGCCAGTCTGGCAGACTCACCCACGGAGGCACCCTTTTCCTGGTCAACCAGAGCCACCCGTTTAAACTGCACTTCTCCCTGAGCTCAAACGGAACACCCTCCGGTGCTGCACAGAAAGGACTTAAAGCCACAGATAAGACAAAGGGAGGAAGAAACGGGAGAGAGAAGGAGGCACAGTCAAGTCCAAATCCCAAGCGCAGTATAAAGGATTTCTTTCCTGTCTCTCCCATGAAGGTACCACAATCGTTCAGTCATTGTGTTGAAACCTGTTTAGTGTATTATTTCTCGTGTCTTATTTGCTTGCTCCTGTAATATTGCAACAAAGATAGTATTTAGCAAGAGAAGTTGAAATCAAACAACTGAAAATTAGAGTAATAAGAATACGTATTTTTCTATTTAGGCATCTAAAAGACGGCTGAGTCCAGAGAGGGGAAACTCTGACGTGAAGCGCCGAAGAAGAGATGAGGGGACTTCAGATAGACGAACAAAGGAAGAGGATGAGGACGAAGAGGAGGAGAGAATGGCGGAGGAAAAGCTCAAGCAGCTGCAGGAGTTGGCAGAGAAGTCCATGACAGGGAAAAGTAACAGCGCCCAGCCTTCATCATCTTCATCCTCCTCAAAGGGCTGTCTTAAGAGCAGCTGGCAGCAGATCGGCAACCTGATGCTTTACACTGCCGCTGGTGTCAGAGGGAGTGAAAAGGTGGGAACTGTTTAAACACAATAGCTTTATTTATTCTTTCATTATTGTTTCTGTGTCTGAGGTCATAACACAGTAATCTGACAGGCAACTTGATTTTGCAACTTAGAAGTTTCAAATTAAATTTAGGCCTCATAATAGCATATGTTTAATTGCTAAATATTTAAAGGCACAGTCGTGTGTATTTTATGTACTAAATAAGCAGCCCTGACCTCTGACTGAGAGTCAGATGTTTCATCACATTTTCGATGAGTCATTTATCAGGTAAAAATGACGTAAAGATTTTCTGCTTTTCTCTGTTTTATATCATCACAAACTGAATGTCTTTAGAAACTCGACTGTTGGTCGGAGAAAACAAGACATTTAAATACAAAAACTAGATTTTTTTATGACTATTTTTTGAAAATTCACAATAGACTGTATAAAATAATGGGTGTAACTACACGTGACATCACCCATTGCTTTATAGACTTTTGGAGCCAGAAGTGACCATATTTGGATGAAAGGGTTGAGCTGTGGAGGAGCGAGGGGTGTATCTGAATATTGCGCTGTTATGCCACCTTGTCATTTTGTATATAAGGTACAATCACGGAATGGAGGGACAGAGTGGTCTCACCTTTAATTTCCTACACGAGGTAGTAACAGTGTTGAAATAGTGACTGTATAAACAGGACATCCAGCTGGACGGGTGTAACGTTTTGAAGTGTTATGTGTGGGCCCCACTGCAGGAGATTTAAAAGTAGCTGTTAGCAGTTAGTGGCTAGCTCAAACAAGAACAACACAAACTGTAAATGTCAGCAAATTAGGAAAACCATGAGATTCGGGAGCTCCTTACTCTCTGAGCAGAGGACAAGATCAGCCGCCATGTAACCGAGGTGGTAAATGATTGTTATTGCCATGCTATACCAACATTATTGTTCATAAACGTGCTACCGACGCGTATGTTTTTGAGTGTGGTTGGTTACAGGAAGTGATGAAATAAAACCGGCTGCTAAACAGCAGTGAGAAGTGCTTCATCAGAAGAAAGGTTGTCTGACAAGTGTTTTTTCACTCATGTTAACGTAGTAGTTTTTATTATATAAACACAAAAGTGCTGTACGGGGGTTTACTTCTACCACCTTACATGATTTTTGGTGAGACCATGCAGCAAGTGTTTAAATGTCTGAACTTCTCCTCTTGTTGTTCTCCAGATTGCAGGGTTTGACATAGATGGCTGCATCATCACCACCAAGTCTGGCAAAGTCTTTCCCACTGGGCCAGACGACTGGAAGTACGTCTGCACTCGTGAACTTTACCTTTTAGTTATTTCGTAGTATGATTTTTTTTGTGTAATATGCTTCTCTTTGTGTTTGTTCAATTAACAGGATTCTGTATCCTGAGATTCAACCTAAGCTGGCCAGCTTGCTCAAGAAAGGATACAAGGTGAGGAGGAGCATGACAGTAACGATATTTATTGGAACTGGTGGCACTGTGGTGCAGTGGTTAGCATTGTCGCCTCACAGTAAGAGAGTTCCTGGTTTGAACGCCAGGGTCGGGGAGCCCTTTTGTTCAGAGTGTGCATGTTCTCCCAGTGTCAGCGTGGGTTTCCTCCAGGTACTCCAGCTTCCTCCCACAGTCCAAAGACTTGCAGGTTAATTGGTGACTCTAAATTGTCCATAGATGTGAATGTGAGTGTGAATGGTTGTCTGTCTCTATGTGTCAGCCCTGTGATAGTCTGCCTCTTGCCCAGTGTCAGCTGGGATAGGCTCCAGCTCCTCGTGCGACCCCTAGCAGGATAAGTGGTTACAGAAAATGAATGAATGACTTCCTAATCTTTCCTCTCCTCCTGCAGGTGGTGTTTTTCACCAACCAGATGGGGATCGCTAAAGGCAAACTACGACCAGAAGTCTTCAAGTCTAAAGTGGAGGATATTCTCACCACGCTGAAGCTCCCTGTGCAGGTTGGTCATCTTGTGGAATGACACTCATCTTTCTCCTAATTATTGTACAAACAACTGATTAATGTACGCCCTTTGTGTCTGCGTCTCAGGTGTTTGTAGCATCTGGTCCTGGTATCTACAGGAAACCAGTGATGGGAATGTGGAACCACTTGTGTGAGAAGGTAATTATCAGCAGAGACACATGATCACACATCCATTTATTTAAGAACCACACCTCACTCACAGTATTTGCACATACTCTGAATTACTCTGCACTAATTAGGATGAGTCATAAGAGCCACCATTTTGTCTCTCCTCATACTATACATGTATTTGCATGTTTGACAATCAACAGTCTATTCCAGTTTTAACTCTGTGTGTCTTTGCATGTGTTTTTCTTGCTCAGGCAAATGATGGCGTGACTGTAGACAAAACACAGTCTTTCTATGTCGGAGGTGAGTGAGGCTGAATGTGAAGTGGTGTCAACAGAGTGATAAAGATCTCATACCTACAGGTGGCTGTGTTCTCACTTATCTGATGGTGTCACAGAGCTGCACACATATGCATGTAGTCATCTTCAACTTCTTCAACCAAATGTTTAGCCCAGTGCTTTTTCAGTAAACCCCAAAACTAATTACCTGAAGTCTTAGAAGTATAAACCCAAGAGAATGTGCAGATCTAAACCTAACTCCAAGAAGAAATTATCTAGTGTAACCTCTTCAACAGAAATAACAAAATTTGGAGAATAGTCTGGTCTTACTATTGCTTTTAGAGCATTTGATCCCCTGAGAGACAGAACTATAAGAGCACACACACACACACACATGCGCCGACAGCCATTGATGTGACTTTACCTTGTGAACAGATGCTGCAGGTAGACCAGAGAACTGGGCTCCAGGGAGGAAGAAGAAGGATTTCTCCTGCAGCGACAGACTGGTAAGACCTGACATTTAATTTAATTGATTTGTGCCATTCCTCCTCCTCCTCCACCTGCCTTGACTTGTTTTATGTGCTTTCTTAAATGTCATTACAAAGTTCATGTACATAAGACGTCATTGTTTCTTATAATACCTTAGAGGAATACTTCACAACCTACATGCCCATTTGTGTATCAGTTACTTATCTTGTGTTACATTAGATATGAAAGAAGAGTTTTGAGACGGGATTTGAAAGTGGAGACAGAGTTGAAGTTACGAATGTCCGGTGGGAGGGAGCTCCAGAGGTGGGGGCAGAGCGGCTGAAGACTCTAGACCCCATGGTGGTCAGGCGAGCTGGCAGGACAGCGAGGTTGATGGAAGAGGAAGACCTGAGAGTGTGGGTGGGGGTGTGGATGTGCAAGAGTTGGGAGAGGTAGAGGAGCGAGGTTGTGGATGGCCTTAAAGGTGAGGAGTAAGATCTTAAAGTGAGTGTGGTGTTTAACAGGGAGCTAGTGAAGCTGCTGAAGGACAGGAGTGATGTGATTGATGGAGGGGGTTCTGGTGATGATGCGAGCAGCAGAGTTCTGGACCAGCTTAAGTTTGTGGATAGACTTGAGGGGAAGACCAGAAATGAGTTACAGTCATCAATACGGGATGTAACCAGGGTGTGAACATGAATGGTGGTACTCAGCAGTGGGCAGAGGCGATTAATAGTGTGTAGATGGAAACAAGCAGACTGAGTGACATTATTGATGTGAGCTTGGAAATGCAAATGATCATTTTGCAGGTGAAATATTCCTTTAATGAGGAAACAGTGCATACATCTTCTTAAATGTGATTATTACATACTAGTTACCATCTTCCTTCTTGTTTTTGTAGTTTGCTCTGAACATTGGGCTACAGTTCCATACCCCAGAGGAGTTCTTCCTGGGCTGGAAGAGCGCCCCCTACAACCTGCCAAGTTTTGACCCTGTGAGTACAGTGAACATATTTGCCTCTAACTGTTTTTTGCATTTATGTTCTATGTCTGTATTTTTGTTAAAAATGTTTTAATCTGAACTTGTAGAGGAAGATTGACTCCACTGCGAGGCTGTATGACCCACCGTCTGCCTCTCTCACCTCCAGCAAGACAGAAGTCATTGTTGCCGTGGGTTTCCCTGCGTGTAAGAGAAACAGGACGGTGTATCACCTTTTCTTATGTCTCCTCCCACAAACACCAGTCTGATCATTTGTCCTCCTTCCTTTCTGCACAGCTGGTAAATCCACCTTCTTCCACACCCACGTCATTCCAAAAGGCTACGTGTATGTAAACAGGGTGAGTGGATGTTAATGTACAGGGCTCTGTCAACATGGCTACACTTCTAAATGCACCCAGAACAGTTTTTGGAACACTATGATGTTTGCTACCCTGCTTTTATATTTGATATACAAGTTTTTAACTGTTGTAAAGATTATATTATTATAATCATGCTTGCTATTATATCCCATATATTATTTGGCCCTTTCCTTAAAGTCTTCCCACTTGTGTGTTTGTATCAGGACACACTTGGTTCATGGCAGAGCTGTGTGACAGCATGTGAGCGCGCTCTAAAAGAAGGCCGCAGTGTTGCTGTGGACAACACCAACCCAGACCCAGAGTCTCGCAAACGGTAAAGCCGAGCTGTCACAACCTCTGTCGATGCATTTCTGTGTTTGTGTGTGTGTGTGTGTGTGTGTCCCCTTGAATGTTTCAGTGTGCGTACATACTCAGGACCCAACTCCCTGGGGTACTTTTACCCTTGTAGAATTTTTTTTTTTGTTTGGAAATGAGCATTTTTATTATTGCATGTCCCGATCCTGGCCACATACATCAGTGTACACACCCAGGTCAAACACAGCAGTGTATTGTAGGCGACTGTGTTACTTTCATTGCCACAGTGTTTCTAAAGGACTCCTACTAAATGGGTGCATCCAGTAATGTGGGCTTTGGTTGTATGCTGCTGTTGCTGTTTTTTTGTGGTATGAAAATATTCCTGCCTGCTGCTTGAATGTGCGTTTACTTCTCAGTGTCTGCATAACCTGTGTGTATTTTCCAGATACGTGGATGTGGCCAAGGCAGCAGGAGTCCCATGTCGCTGTTTCCACTTCTCAGCCTCTCTGGAGCAAGCCAAACACAACAACAGAGTATGACTCTCTTCTCCATACTGTCACTCTTCTCTCTTTGGTTTGTTTTAGTCTGAGTGGGGATGACAAGTGTTTGTTTAATGTGTTATTGTTGCCCCCAGTTTCGAGAGATGGCTCCGTCAGACACCAAACACGCCAAGGTCAACGACATGGTTTTCCACAGCTACAAGTGAGAGACGCTGGTCTTTTTTTCCTCACACTCCAGTTAAAAAACATATTTGTTTCTTGTGCCTGGAAGCCCAGACATAGTGGGTTTTGCATTCTGTGAACACATAACAGTCACAGCTCTGTATTGACCACTGTAATCTGTCTCTCTCTCTGGACAGGAAACATTTTGTGGCTCCTGCTCTTTCCGAGGGATTCTCCGAGATACTCCAGATCCACTTTGTGCCGAACTTCAAAGACAGCCAATCAGAAACCCTGTTCCTGCTGTTTTCTGAGGGCTGATTGGACAGTTTGCTTTCTAACACCTTTTGACTTTCACATTCGAACTGACGGAGAAAAAGAACAGATAACAGCCAGTGAAGCAGCTAAGGTTTGAGATCAGTCCAACAAGTGACAGACCTAGAGAAACACAACGCTCTGACTCAGACTGTCTGGGCTTCCTACTGACAACTCCGCAGCGCTTGTGTGTCCCAGCTTACATGCATACTGTATGGCTAATGATTTCTAACAACAAAGTAAGACTGATAATGTTAACTAGACTTGGATTCAAGCAGCAATTTATCAAGCAACTCAACGTATCTTCATGAATGTATGGCTAGATTTCCATTGTATAGTGTCTCAGGAAGTGATTATACATGTGTCACACATGTTGAGTTTAGAAGGAATACAGTGTGAAAACAAGAACAAATACATTTTTATGTTGTTTATGACAAAATGTCTTCTGTTTTACAAGTTTACTGCCCCACAGCTGTAAAGATCAACAGTATTGCATTTGACAATAAAGCTTTGCAAAACACTTGATATTACGGTCTAGAACCATTACTACATTACTACGTGAGCTCTGTTGAAGTATCCATCGTTATTGTGGCTTAAATGGAAACTCAGACATTTTTCCTGGATGAAAAATGCCCAAGGAAAAATTTGAAATCGGTCCAGTATTGAGGACGAGTGCTGCAGCAGCCAGTTGTGAAATGGGCTGCAGTGTAATTAGGGCAAAGCGCACTGTCAATATATGTCCATTAACAGTGCTTGTTTTTGGCACCAACAGGCCCAGATTGTTATTCTAAAAACATAATGGACAGGATCCTACACAAAAATCTTTTTGTACCTTTCACCTGATTTGTGTTTATATTGTCTTCCTGCTACAACTCAACTCTGTGGCAAGACATTTTTCATAGGGGCAGCCCGATGGGGCCACTGGGTGGTACACCAAAACTAAAGTCAGAAATGAATTTCAGGAGTTTGATTATGCAGTTTAAGTAGGCTTTAGAGGCTAGATAAAAATTATGTCACTATGGAGAGTTCAGGATTCACATACTGAAATCTTACTATCTTACTATGTAATGATGAAAACTCTGTGTCTCTGTTCGACGTTTTTCTCCTCACTGACTTGGTCAATCCATGTGAAATTTGGCACAGTGGTAGAGGGTCATGGGTGGATGCGAATGAAGCAATATTACATCAATTGGCCAAAGGGGGGCGCTATAGCAACCGATACAGGGACCAATATCTGAAGTTCCCTCTTGGCAAAAGTTGGAAAACTTACTAAAACTGAGCTTCTATAAGGCAATGAATATTGCGGAGGGCGTGGCTCATCACATAAAGGTGTATAACATTTCAAGGGTTTCACCCATCACCACGCAACTTTGTAGGCTTATGACCACACTTAATCTGAGGGGACCCCTCCATTATTGACCTCATTAAACAAAATGGGGGCGCTAGAGAGCTAATTTCTTATCTAGGCCTAACCGCCATATGGATTTTTACTAAACTTGGTAGATATGTAGAACAGGATGCCTCAAGGTGACTGGAGACATTTAACTCTAATTGGCAACTGGGTGGCGCTATAACAACAGAAAAATGCATAAAAATGGCTAAAATGCGACCAAACGCTGTGGCTCCACCTGTGGCCGAATGTTTTTACCTCAACCACTAATGTACAGTTTTAGCCCACTAACTATCCCACTATTTGCAATGGTACTACTGTACTTTCAATAAAGCAATCGTACTATCAAATTCACAAATTCTCTGTCTGAATACATTGCTCTTCTTAATGGGTTCAGTTGACTATTTAATCTGCAATTTCCTATGACCTGTATCCCAAACACACACCATGTGACACTGTACGTGGGCAACTGTGCACTCAATGGGTATGGACTAGTACGTATATAATACATGAAATATGTAATGTATGTTAGGTGATTCATTGTCCTTCAAATAAGCTGGTTGTCCTTTTCCTTAAAAAGACAAAGACACAGCTTGAATATGAAGGAGTACATTGACTGTAAGGAACAAAACTGGGGAACTGGGAACAAGCCCAAGCTGGGGGAGACCCATGGAACCCATTTTCATTCAGATATCTTGAGATGAGAGTTCAAGGGACCCCTTTGAAAATAGCCATGCCAGCTTTTCTCTTGCCAAAATGTAACCTTAATTTGGGGAGTTATTTACCTCCTTTCTGGTCAGGCTATGTTGACATTGTTAATACCAATGGATGCAAAGGTTGTCTAGTTTCACAAGATACCACTAGCTTTGTAGTATCTTAAAAAACGAGTGCTCCATGGCCTCTTAGAGACAGTGATGTAGGCCTCCAATTTTTTTTTCCTAGGCAGGACCATGGGGACGCCAGACTGCAGAGCAAGACTCCTTGAGTGAGTCTTGGTTACACACACTAACAAACAGACCAAGATCAAGCTAAAGATAAAGAAAAATTTTTTATTCCTCTGTAGGGTGATTTCCATTTTGTTGTTAGACACTTATACAACATTTCTAGTGAGGGTACATTAATGGAACGCAATGGTCCCAAATGGTTAGATTGCTGGCCGCAGCGTTCTTGCTCAATACTGGACCACTTTAAAAATGTCGGTTCCTATTAGTCACTCATACACAAAAACATGGGAAAATAGTGTCCATGTTGAAAAATACTGAAGTTTCTCTTTAATCCAAGCAGCTCTCAGCTAATTGATTCTGGACGTTCTTAGTTGACCTCAGGCAGGAACTGGATATCCTCACCCAGATACTGTTTCAGCCATGACATTATCTTGAACAGGTCAATGTGAAAGTCTCGGGCATCAGGAGGCGGCTTGCTGCTGCTGTACCCTCTCATAGCTGGGTCGAGTGAATCACATATGTTTGTGGTGCCCCAGCTCACGACTCCCACCTGGAGATGAAAGCAGAGAAATGTCCACATGATGCTTATGGCGCTGTGTTTAATGACGTTTTTTTTTTTTAAGTGAGAAACTTGCTGACCTGAAAGTAGCGCTTTCTTTTCTGCAGAAACAGAGATCCACCAGAGTCACCTGCACAAAAAGAGACAACATTTAACAAATGTGAATCCGATGTTGGTAAAACTGTGGTGGCGATTATACAGTAAGTGCAGAGACCAGACCTCTACAGGTGATAGCATCCCTGTATGCTGAGGATCCCCCAGTGCAGAGGAATCTGTCAGGGACATACTCATCCATAGTCACATTGGTGGGGTCTTTGAGTGTTTGCCTCGCCTTCTCCACACAGCCAGGCCTCTGCAGACATCACATGAGTTATAGTGCAACACTCACATTATAAAGACCATTTCCTCTGTGTTACTGAGTAGCAGCATGAAAGCAGCCCACAGTGACTCACTCACCTGACTCTCGATGTGAATATGTGTTTCTTTGCGTTCAGTGTTCTTATGAATGAAAAAGGCAGGAGTCTCCTTGTAGGGCAGTAGTTCCTTCCCTGTGTACACACGTTCATTTTACTGAGAATGCCTAATTTATGAATGATTTTTTGTCTCAGATCTCTGTCCTAATATTGGAAATAATCCTTCCATACTCTTAGTATATGAAAGTCTCTGCATTTGTAGAGTGTAGAGGTCAAAAGGTCACATACTGTGCTGCTGACAGGTGGAGTTGACTTTCTTCATTGCTCGGCTGGCTGGTACGGTGCATGGCAAGCAGATAGGTCTGTTGTATGACACACAGTCAACACACAGAAATGTTTGTGTTAGTTGGATAAGTTGTGTCCCTTTTGTAAGCTAAACAAGTGTGGAAAAACAACACACATTTTTCATGACAAAACATTTTGTCAGCCTTTCAGTGCCTTTAAGTTGTATCAAATCCTCCAAATTTCTTGAGTACACTTGTTGATGCAGATGACCATACAGGTGCACAATAGTCCAGGTGGCTCAAGACTAAAGATTTCACTACCTGCTCCATAATATGTGCAGGGACATAAGGAAGACATTTTCTCATCATGGAGATACCATCGCCTATCTTCTTAATTATTGCATCAATGTGCTCAGCCCATGACAGTTGGCTATCTATAATTATACCCAGTAATTTGACTTTATCCCTGTTCTATAGTTTCCCCAGACAAGTTCAAACTCATTGTAGGTGTAGATGACAGTTTATAACTTGATCCCAGAACAACTGATTTAGTCTTTGAGATGCTCAACACCAACTTTTGTTTTATCCAATCAAAGACTTTATTTAGCTCAGCACATAGAAGATAATTCAGTTCTCCAATAGTCTTTGCAGCATAATACAATGTAGAGTCATCCGCATACATTTGTACAGTAGCTTTTCAGACAACAGATGGCAGGTCGTTTGTGAAGATGGAATACAAGAGTGGTCCGAGGCAGCTCCCCTGTGGGACCCCACAGTTCAGCCCTTTGGAGTCGGACCCTCTGTGTCCCATTTGAGAGATAACTCTTCATAAATAAGATGGCGGTTGGACTAAATCCATAACATTTTAGTTTCCCAAATAGAAAGTCGTGATCTATGACATCAAATGCTGCACTAAAATCCAGTAATACTGCACCAGTCATCATAGAATTATCCATCTCCTTAAACCAGTCATCTGTCATTTCTGTAAGGGCAGAACAAGTGGAGTAGTCACGTCTATAAGCATGTTGAAATCTTGTGTTCAAACCATTACAGTCAAAGTAATCCTGTATTTGTGAGTGGACTATTCTCTCCATCATTTTACTGAGTACTGGAAGAATAGCGATGGGTCTGCTGTTCTTCCTGGTAAGTGGTGTAAAACAGTCATGATTTGGTTTAGGCAACAAAACTACTTGGTTATATCGGGGAAAAGATTATGGTTTGGGTTAACAAAAATATGTTTGTGACGTGCACATTAATGTATGTGACCTGTGACCGTGAATATATAAAAACTCAGTCACTGACTTTTGTTTTCACTAAGTCCCCAGGAACAGCACCAGGCTTTGAAGCAGATTTGACACAGTGGCCAAACACAACTTCCATGTCCGTCACGTGATGCCACCCAAAAGGACTTTTTCCCTTAGAGTTACATTGTGAAAGAGACATCTGTAAATCAGCAGGTACATTTTTGGAGCATCATAATGATTTGTTTCACTATCAGAGTTTCGGTCCGATAACATTTTGAAAATCTAGAAGAGACGCACAACTAAAACTGCTTTGATTCGCAGCATGGTAACTGCCCTGACAGCAGCTGACCTGGGTTTTCCCCAAAAAGCAAGCACTTTTAAAAGCAGCTTGTAGCTGCATACTGTAGCAACACAATAGAGGTCACTGAAACTACCAAAGATTTCAACATATTTGGACAATTTACCAGTTGTCTGAAGTTTGGTAGAAATATTATCCAAAGCCCAGTTTTTCTTCTGGTTGTCCTTATAAGTTGCTAGTTCCATAATTGGTGTTCAGACACAGACATTATCAGCTCCTCCATCTTGTTTTCTTTCGGATGCAGTGATGCCCACTATTTGATCAGCTAAAGTCAGGCAGTGACTGAGCTTGGCAGAGTAAAATCTGTGCATGTGCATGTGGGCAACAGCTGCTTCATACTCTGACCACCTCATTCAAAACTGCTTCCCCTCTGCTGCCTTGCCCTCATTTAAAGGACTTAATCATTTTATCTGTATTCAGGTTAACAGAGGGCTAAATCAGAAGTAGCCGGCTCAGCTGGTGGAAGTCTCTGGTGCTCTTGCTCTATGGTCCTCACGATGTGGAAGATCCAGATCATTTTATACCTGGAAAGTTGAACGTTTTTGGCTTCATGCATCACTGATCAACTTTCATAGGAATAAACAGCCACTTCCGATGCTGTGACCATTTCTCTTTATACATCCATGCTTTTTACACGGGACATGAACAGCAGCTTCTCAGCTCAAAGTCCTGGGTTTTTTGACCCATCCATCCAACCTGACCTCTTCCCTATGGGGACACTCTTGGTACTATGTCATCCAACTTCTTCCTTTGCTCCTCTCATAATAACTTCGATCACAAGGGGTCACTGCCTAACAATATATGGGTAGCAGTAAGCTGGCTGTAAAAACGACTCATGGGGTAATTTTATCGGTGGAGCACAGTCTCTTGAGTTTAGCTCATTGGATATATGTAACCCTGGCGGCAACAGTTAAGCATCTTTTCTCAGCCTGTCTTACCTGGCTTTCCAGGAGAGTGGTATACTCGTGTTCACCTGTACCAGAGCGACATCGTAGTCATAGAACTCAGATACATTTCTGTGTTTTAGTGCCCTGGTGTTGTACTTGGGATGCATGATCACCCTCTTGGGAACCACCGTGCCCTCACCTGGGAACCAAAAAGCTGCTTGTTATTTCAACATGATAGGGCTTGAAGTCAACAAGATGGTTAATAGAAACTAGTCCTGCTGTTTGCTACAATACAGTACTGCAGCTAAATGAGTTGAGTAAGGCACTGAGAGTTTATGCTTTGACTGACATGACTGACACTGACCGTGATGTATGAGCACCTCATGACGCATATCTGTGCTCGCTCTGGCAAAGCAGTGAGCAGCTGTCAGCACCCAGTTCTGGCTCACAATGGATCCAACACACGGCGTCTTCTACAAGGGGAGTAAGAGTTTACATGTAAAAATCCACTCTGAAATATAAAAATATATATATTTTTTAATCTCTTTTATGATTGTAGTGACTGACCGTTGAGGCTACACTTTGACTTTTCAGAGTGACGTGCCAGGGTCTGGTGTAGGCTGTCTCATCCCCCGCCTGTTCCTGAGCTACACCACACATCGTCACACTCTTGTCACCTGCATCATGAAACATTCACATGGTTTAACATCAGTAACTTAAATGTTGGTATGAACTTTATACAACATTGCAGCCGTAAAGTGGATATAGACACGATTTTGCAAATAGACAGTTTTCATTGTGACGTAAACTGTAATGGCCATAGAAAAGACCCTTTAAGTCTCACTTTAACTATACAATTGACCTATGGCTAAGTCCCGCCCTTAACCACGATGAGCCAATGACAGTGCGTATAGCCATTCCCATCTATACAATCTATGATTCCCATACACTCGGACATTCTCTGCCTGGACGTCCATTGAAATGCATTACAGAAAGTCAGTTTAAAAATGGTCAAACGGTGTGCATGGGGTACATGCAACTCTGACACAAGGTATCCTGAGAGGCTGGGCGACGAGGTGTATTTTTTACACATTAAACCACATCTCAACCGAGAAAAGTGTCTGCTTTGGATAAAGTTGTGTGGTAACGTTAGACAACAACATCAACTCAACATGAATAAGATTAACAATGATGTCTACATCTGTTCTAAGGTAAGTCAACATTGTGTTTGAGGCAACATATAAAGTTATCTTTAACATCTCTAGCTAACATTAGCTAAAGTTAGCCTAACGTTAGCTCCTAGCTGCGTTGTTCATCATGTCACCTTGTTTGTTGGGAATTCATTAGCCTATTTTGTTCTAGTTTTTGTACTTTGGTGATCGTACATCATTGTTAGCTGTTGCCCATAGGGCTCTAGTTAAGCTAACGTTAACTTCTAGAGCTTAGCTTCATTAATTTATCTGTAATCGCAGAGATAACAAAGGTTGGCAAACGTTACGTTGAATGATTCAGTGTAAATACTGTAACTAACGGAGAGACACTAAAGATGGTAAAAAGGCCGTTATCCTTTTCTCATATTCTGAGCCAAAAACCTTAACTTCAGTGGCACTTAAACTTGTTGTCTTTGATGGCGACGGCAACGAGATGCGGTTCACAAGCGTACACTGTGACCTGTAAATTTTGGCTTGTAATTTAAGCTTTTCATCGGCCTTCTCAACAATAAAATGATGAATATATCCCTCCAATGCGTAGTTTAGGCCCTTTTGGTTACTTCTCAATGACATCTGATCGTTATGTCCCCAAAAATCATCAACTGCCTCCTGCGAAATGTCGTGTACTGTGACACCTGCCATAGCGCTGGTCACTGAATGTTGATAGTTTGTCTAAGTGAGTGGAGGGGGGCGTGGCTTAGCCATAGGTCAATTATGCCAGCCACCGGGTACGATTTGAAAGCTAGATTTATGGCACAAAGGAAGTTTTTTCAAGCACTGCGCAGTCAAAACAGGAAGAGGATAGTGCTTTCCCTGGTAGCGATCGGTAGCTATTCCCAGTTACCAAAGAATGGCAGACGGTGGAACAACCGCGGAGTAACTCTGTAGCTGGTTGGCTCTGAGGAAAATGGGGAACAATCCAGTTGTCTTTGCAACAGTGGTGCCAGCAATAATACCACTTGGTGGGTTCAAGTGTTTTGTATTCTCAAAATTTAATTATTAATTATTGAAATTCAATTTTCTGAAGTTAATTTTTCCTTCACACATGGTTGTGCACCTTCGAGTTGAGAACGGTCTCATACTTACTAATGATGCTGTTGAACACCTGTCCCAGTGTTTTGTAGTCTTTCAAAAAGAAGACGTGCTGCTCGCCACGTTTCTTTGAGGCTAAGGAGTTCAGCTCATCTTTGTTCACTTGTTCCCCAACACCAAACACGTAGACATCTGAAATCACATACACAAAATGACTTATACTACGCACACATAGGCAGCCATGTTAACACACTAAAAATACACTAACAGTGTAAATATACACTGTTCATGGTGTATTAGAACATTTAACGATATTTGTTTCCTTTTAATACCCAGCATTGTTTCATCTGTGTTATCATGGGATATTTCGTGATAGCCCAGCAGATTTCGGATCCGTGCCAGAGCAACCAGAGGCTTCTTGCCTGTGTTGGAGTAACCTGCAGGCGGAAAAACATAAAAGATAATGTTTCCTTTTCCGATATTAAAAGAGCTCTGATGGGTTGAGGATTTTTATGAGCTGAAGATGCACAACAGATGTTTTTTCAGTGTGAGTTGGGAGACATTTCCTGGGTCTTTACCATCTGTTTCAATGACGATGATGTTCTGAGTCTCATTAAAATGGTTCTTGGCACTGTTTTGCTTAAGGAAGGCGATCACCTCACTGACACGGAACAGGGCAGCATGGAGGTTGGTGCCTGTCTTAGTTCCATGGCCTGCAGATACACAGATGCAAAAAAATTAGACAACTGAAAAATACATTTGTTTATTTAAAAATATTTAATTCAACAGATTGGTGCATCACGGTTGTAGCGTACTGTACTGATTCAGGAGTACCTCAGAATATCACACTGCAGGAGATAAAAGGATGTGGTGATTACATGAATGGATACTGTAAGTGACCAAGTGATAACAAGCCCAGTCCTACTATGGTAGTCAAACTCCTCCAGTTTATATAAGATGTCGTCGATGCTCCCACTTATATCTGATTGTCTGATGTCTACAATGTCTTGAGCCTCGCTGGCGAATGACGACACATGGAACTTAAGCTGTACCTCGTAGCTGTCCAGCTAGAAGGAAAATAACGAAGACATGTATGTTTCACACCCACTACAGACAAACTGGTTTATAGAACATGAATGAATGTGAATTTTTCTCTCTTTTGCAAGACTCTGTAACCATTTAATAGTGAATCGAGTAAGCTCATTTTTGCACAGACCTTTTGGATAAGAGCGATGGTGGCATTCCTGGATAATTCAAAGGCCTGCTTTCCAATGCTTCCCGATGTGTCCAGTAAAATGTAGACATTCATACGACTGCCCTTGGCCACACGGAAGGTTCGGGCGAAGGACGTCCTTGCATCTTACACATACACACAAAGCACCTTTTTTTTTAATCAACTGAATCCAGCTAGTTGCTCTTCAAGTGTATGTTCATGCACTTTGGACTTCTTGATGTTTGTGCTGTAACACTGTTAAAATGTCAATATGCTGGAGACAAGTTAAACCCACTTTTCCTTTTGGAGTCTGGTGAGAGGACATCCATGACTCCTGCAAGTGACCCCGCCATGGCCTCTGCAACAAAGCTGGGGGAGTCATAGGTATAGGGGCCTGCAGAAGCACAAAGACATCATGCATGAATGTTTTATTGCACCATAATAGCTCATCATACTTTTGTGGTGCTACCTCGATGTCAGCTTGCTGTACACTTGATGATAATATCAGTGCTAACTCAGTGATTAGATTAGTCATCTTTTCTTTTCTTGGTTGTACACTTATTGTATGCATAGAAACAGTAACTTGGCACCTTGGCACCGTGGTGTTGTGCCACTCCACTCCCTGTTCTCCAGGCAAACCCTTTCAGCCGACCCAAGCAGATTCAGACCAGCCTGACACCAGTAGATCACCTTGTCCCCCGTGTGAAAGCGGCCCGCTGACCTCTGGGCCCCTGGTGGGATCCCTGGGTCCCCACAATCGTCAGCTGCAGAGGGTCAACAGCAGACAATGATAAGTTGTTTGTGAGGTCATAACCACTTTTAAAAGGATATAGGTGTTTGTGCTCACATAGAGATGTAAAAAAAAGTAACTTTATTTGCAAAAGATGATTATGTCGTACTTTGACTTGATACACAGAGGCCTGTTTAAGGCACACCCCAAAATCAAACATATGATGTCTGCCTTCTGTCCAATATAATGGAACTAGATGGCACTCAGCTTGTGGTGCCCAAAGTGCCAAAACTCAAGATCAATGTCTCTTCCCAGAAATCACGACTTGGTTACTCAAGATAATCCAACAAAAGGCGAGCTTTAATGTAGCTAATGAAGGACTTCCAAATGAAGGCAGGCAACTCAAAAAAAACAAAACAAAAAAAAAAACATATGGGAGCAGAACTAAAATCCATACTAAAACTAACCAGGAAAAGACATGAAGACCAGGAATGATAAACACAGAAACTACGCAGAAGGTACGTAGATGGACTGACAAAGGACAAAGGGAAACACACAGGTATATATACACAGAAGACTAATCACCAGGATGAGACACAGCTGGAGAAGGAAGGCACGGGCAAAAGGAGTGAAACAGGGATTGGCTGACAACACAGGTGGAGCAGACAAGACTTAACAGAAAACAGGTGTGAAGGGAAGACTCAGGGAACAGGCAAGACTCAACGAGACAGGTGTGACAGAAAACAGGTGGGAAAACACACAAAGACAGGAAGTTAACCCAGACATGACACATGCGGAGAGAATCTACAAAATAAAACAGGCAGCAGATTAAATATGAGCTAAACAACATGAAACAAGGAACACAAACAGAAAAACTCAGGATATGAAACCAAAACCAAGGATCATGGCAAGTTCGATAGAAAGAAAATAGTTCCTACATAAAACTGCTCACAGCAAGGTCTGTGGATTATCTTGGGTAGTCTGGTCATGATTTCTGGAAAGAGACATTGCTGTTGAGTTTTTCAGATGTATTATTTTGGGGACTTTTAGCATAATCATTTTTATTAAATGACTTACCCAAAGTCTGTTTAAACTGTCACACCCATTTGTATGCCGATGACACTGTTATCTACACTTCAAATCTTTCAAATCCAGAATTCTTTATGTTTGACTTAAATTTGGTTCAAGAATGGTTTCATAACAACAAACTTGTACTGAATAAGAAGAAATCCTGCATCATGGTTTTTGGTAAACAACACTCCTGGTCACATTCCACTGATTTACATATCTCTTTTAATGATGGCTCTCCTGTTGATAAAGTTTAACTTTTTAAATATCTTGGACTTTGGATTGATCCTGAACTCTCCTTTAAGCCTCAAATTGAGGTAATGTGGAAAAACTGAGACGTATTGCTGAAACTGCATTTTTCTCTTAAAACAAGTCGGCTGTTCATCACCTGTTACATAAATAAAATGCTAAAAGAAAATGAAAAATGTGATGGTGAGATCAAATACGGCTAAATAAGGCCCATGAACTGAAATGAGTTTGACACCCCTGATTTACATGCATTCATTAAAAGCTGCTTTACAGTGTAAACCTCGGTAAGTAAGAGCTTAGTTAGTGCATGCTCACTGTACCATAGTCTCTATGAACTGCACTCAGAGACTCGTGAAAGCAGATATTCTCTGTTGCACTGATGTAAGAGGGAGGAATATAAGCATGTGTTGTTCATAATTTCATCCCACAGATGACTGATGCTTTATCATGAGTAATGTTTGTACTGTTGTTCGTCCTCACCATGGTTGTCACAGATGGGAGTGGTTCCTGTCCACTCCCCAGAGTGGGTGCAGTTCCTCTGGGCTGACCCGTACAGGGTGAAGCCTTCCTGGCAGGAGAAGGTCTGTGTCGTCCCAACACTGGACCACTGGTCCCTGGGCCAGAAGTCACCATGATCCAGCTGGAGCTGAGCTGGACACAACACATCTGGGAGAAGGACAGAGGATGACGGATAGAAAAGAGGATGAGGGCAAGAGTACTGTGGTGTACATGTGAAATAAGATGCATCATCATCCAAATCGTTACCTTTGCATGTGGCCTGTGACACCAGTCTGCCATTGGTTAATCTCATAGGCGACCAGTCCCCTTCAGCGCTGCAGAGCCTGAAGCTGACCGGGAAAGGGTATTGGCCCAGGCCGCACTCATAGGTCAGCACACTGCCCTCCAGCCCTCCCTGTACAGGAAACACATGGTCACTTCTGGAGCTAAATTAAGTACCCTGGAGCTTTCCAGTAAAGAGATGCTTGATTTCTTTCTCTTTCCTGACCTAGTTCCTTTTTATTATGAATGGAAAGTGACCCTCCTAAGTTCCTAAGAATCAGAATTAGAGTCCGAAATACTTTATTGATCTCAGGAGGTAAATAGTAGTAATAAAACTGTGGTACATTACAGCGTCTCAGATATATAGTATAGATATTTAGAACAAAGTACATCTAAGAAGTGTGCAAATAAGAATATGTGCATTATGCAACGTTTAAAATTAGTATGTAACATTTTAAGTTGAATAAAAACATGAGTATTATGCTACAGTATGTAACACATGAATTAAGCACTTGATTCTCTTTTGGAAGTGGGGCTTTATGGTCTAGTAGCATACTGACTCTTTTTAATGTAAACCTGGTTTGAACAGATCTGGAAAACTGCATTCTCCTGCTCTGCACCTTGGACATGAAACAGTCTTCAAAAAGATCTAAAACTAGAAACACTTACATCCTTTGATGAATTTAAAGACATCATAAAGAATGTGAAGACAGAGACGTGTGCTTGTTTTTCTTGAGAGGCCACTATGTTTGAATAGCTGTTGTTTTATCATGGATTTTCGTATTATATGTTGTATTTGTTGCATTTTGATGTGTTCTGATTGGCTGCTACCTCGGCCAGGTCTCTCTTGTAAAAGAGATTTTCGATCTCAATGGGACTTTCTGGTTAAATGAAGGTAAAATAAATAAACAAATTGTAGATCATATATAAAATTATAATAAATCACATATATAGAACATAGAGGAATATGTGTAGCATGTACATTATATGTTGAAATACATGCAAAAGTAGTGTAAGTAGAATAAATAAGGATACTGAAAAGAATATTGTGCAGTTCAGTAATTGCACAAATGTGTTGCAGCAGCTGAATTACAGAACCAATTCTTGTGCAATTAAAACAATGTTGCACAGAATTATTGTACTATTAAGTCACTATTGCACAACTGAATAATAATAAGTAAATTATGGAGTTGTAACCGCTGACTGGTAATTTAAGTACAAGATCAGTGTTGTCCCTCAATTTCACCTGCATGATTCAAATTAAATTATACATATATTTTTTTACTTGATGGGTTTGTTTTCGTTTAACATACTGCATTAATTATACTGTCCTCCATTTTGTCTACTTTCTGTTCCCGTGCTTGTGTTTTGTTGAGGACTTTGTAATCTCTGTTTTGGAGTGTTTTCCATTTCACAATCTTTTTACTCGACTTCATTTTTCCACTGGTCCGTGTTCTCCTGTTTATTGAGCACTGTGTTTCCTCTTTTTTGCAATGTTCTACTTTGGGTTTTTTTGCCTATTAACTGAAATTTTATTATTATACATAGATGTGTCTTTTAAACAAAAGAAACAGCTACATCAGGGTAACATGGCTCAAAAATACACATAGGATTTTAAAGGAGCAGTCTTTCACTCTGGTGTAAAATAGTCTTTTAGCTAACACATCATCCTGAGTGGAGGAGATTAAAAATACAGGTGTATACAGAAGGGTTGCAACAGTTATTTCCAGCGTGGATTAATATGACAGCTGTCACAATCGTTAGATTATTGTGAGGGGTTTTAAACATTAAAAGAAAAAGAAAGAAAAATAACTAATGCAAATTTCCAGTGTCCAAACAGATGATGTCTTTGTTTGTTTTGTCTGACCAATGCTTCAAAAACCAGAAAATATATTAGATTTCAAATGATAATCACTTTGAAGAAGCTAGAACCACAGAATATTTGTTGTAATAGATTAATAAATCAACTATCAAATTGTCTTCTTATTTGCTTTATCAACTGATCAACTAATCACTTCAGCTCACTTTATTATTTTTACCTGTGAGTACGTGACACGTCCACCCCTGATGCTCTCTGTGGTTGAGCAGTTCTGAGGCTGTGGATCCTCATATGTTTCATCTTCATACTCATACTCCTCCAGGTACACTAGAGCACAAACAGTGTTGGTCACAAACATGCATGTCTGCACGCACACACAGGCAGCACGGGAACACAGCCATATGGTTTGGATGCGTACAAACTTCACATCATCATACTTAAATGTACAATAAGTGCAACACAAAAGTGAAATGCTTACCCTCCTGGACAGAGGCGAAGAGTAGGATCCATAGTATGGGCTTGATATTCATGATGGGACTCAGTATCAGTGGTGTTTATGTCTTTGAGTGACAGAAACCACATCGAGAGTGTCCGGATCGACCCGCAGTCAGCTGCTTTATTTGATGACTGATTACCCATTAACACAGCAGCACCAAACAGTGAAGAAATGATTGAGCAATTTGGGGCAAAACACAGATGTGAGCTCTTACTTTCGTTTTTGGTTGCATTCTGTTTGATATGTTTTCTTCTTTTTAGGATTCTGTCTGGTGACATTTTTATATTACTTATTAATCTAAGAGTGGCCTCATAAAAGCTGCTCCAAAGCTTATAAATTAAAATCTATTAGGACACTCAACTGCACTGCCATGAGCCAGCTTTGGGCAACTAATGCAATTTCAAATCTCACAATCTCTTTAGCACTTTTCATATTATTCACCATTTCCTAAACCAAATTGCACCCCAACACTTCTGTTGTTTTGATGCCTAATTACCCAGAATTATTACTAAATGACTAAGACTGTCTCCGTGCCAATGTTTTGGGGTTTAAAACCGTGTGTAGTGCTCATGTGCACTTGTATTTGTGTGTTGGTGCACCTGCTCGCTCAGGTTTGGGCATGCAAGCGTGCATGTGAATGAAACATTTTAGGAGCTTAAAAGATCATTATGGGGATTATGGAGGTTTAACAGGGACCCCCACCTCCACACTCAACCCTTCTCCCCTTCCCCGTCCTCCCTCCTCCTACGAGGAGCTCAGTCCTCTCAGCTGACTCGGCTTTGTTCAACGTTGTGAAGGAGTTTCCAAAATGCTTTTATAACTGCTCACACACCATCAGAAAACAAGAGAAACACAGGACGATGCTGCAAAAACAGACAGAAGGCCAAAGAATAGCAGCAAACATGAACATTTTGATAACTGGAGATTGAAAACTCTTTCATGTGGATTATATTGTGTTATTTATTTTTGCATTTTTCTCTGGATTATGTTGATGGATGTCCAACAAAGGATTCTACTGTGCTGCAGGGCTGAAGGCCATAAGCTCACTACACCTCAGTGGAAGTTTGCTGTCGGAGCAGAAAGTGAACAATGTTAATAAAACTCCGGAAAACATCTGTAACATTGCCTCATGTAGAAACGTCTCTCTTCACGATGTCACCACTGATGTATTTATCACAACATCAGGCTCTTTGAGAAGAGGAGCACTGACAGAGTGACAGCCGACTAAAGATGTCTGACCTCAGCCAAGTTGCGGTGTACTCAGACTCTTCAGATATTTATAAGGTGAGTGAGGATGATGAGTCGGATGATGGTGGTTAATAAAGGTGGTGTGTTGTGGGAAAGGTCACAGAGTTGGAACAGCTGGCTTAATTTTGACTATAATTATTCTTCATTTCAAGCCTTGTGGACCCTGCCATGCCATTTTATTTGTGTATAGCTCACAGACATCGTCTTGCATTGTATAATTCTGTGCTGTGGACTGGGTGTTTCTGTTTTTTGCTTGGAAATCTACATGTGTCTCTCATTTCTGCATTGTCACTGTGAATGTTAACAGTGCTGTATGGGTTATTAATAAAGCAAGACTATGTAATATTTGCAGTACAGCAGCTACTGTGGCCACAAGCAGCAATTACACGATGATAGCACATTAAATATCCCAAGATTCTCTTCAGTCAGTTGCTTTAAAGCTGCTGTAGTCGATATTTGTCAGGAAAAAAAAGTATGACAGGGTGCTTGTAGTGACTGACCTGCAGAAAATTACCACTTGAGTCTGCAGCTCCCCCTGGCTTTATGGAGCTTTATTGATTTTCAGCACATTGCCTATCTGTCCAGCCCTCAACTTCAGAGATTTGGTTAACTCTCATTGCTCTCATAGTCCTTTTTCACCAAAGTAGCTTCGATACTTGAACTGATTCCGTCCAGGATTCTTGGAACGTTTGTGCTGGAGCAAACCTGCTACATTTCAACTGGTTTTAAGGGGAACTAATCAGTGATACGTCATCAATGGATTTCGTTTCACAATGCACAACAGAAGTGTAACGTGAGGGTTTGATGTGCAGTGGTTGGGTCACTCTTGTTGGGAGTACACAGCAGGATGGAGAAGGATATTCTCTTAAGCAGCACTTTACTATTCTCCACTCTTATCGTAACCACTTATCTTCTTAAGGGTCACGGGGGGGGGGGGCTGGAGCCTATCCCAGCTGACATTGGGCAGGGTTCACCCTGGACAGATCGCCAGACTATCACAGGGCTGACACATAGAGACAGACAACCATTCACACTCACATTCACACCTACTGACAATTTAGAGCCACCAGTTAACCTGCATGTCTTTGGACTGTGGGAGGAAGCTGGAGCACCTGGAGGAAACCCACGCTGACATGAGGAGAACATGCAAACTCCACTGGATTGAACCAGAAACCCTCTTGGTGTGAGGCAACAATGCCGCCCTTTGAAACAACAGGTGAAAACATAAATGCGTGAATAGTCAACTGTGCAAACACGGTAATGTATTTTTAGCAAATTACTGAAACACATGAATTGACTTAACTAGTAAACCTTACAGAAGTAAACAGTAGTAGCAAGATGGCGGCTCACATTACCTACTTGTGAGCTTTTCTTCTGTATTTTTTTTTTTTTACCTGAAAACCGAGCACGGACCAACTATCAATGTTAAGAAGACCTTAAAGACAATTGCGTGCAAGACTCCCTCTTCCCCTCCTGGAGAATTTGACACAAGTATCAATGTTGTCATAGTTTGAGATTCAGGTCAAGGAATACCTGCTGTTTTTTGGTCCTAACAAATAAACTTTTTGGCCTCCTTAACAATTTATTTTTGGTTCCTTCAAATGATTCAAAATTAAGTTTGCAAACCAAAATGGAACCTGTTCCTTGTTGGTGGAGAAGAAGTATTGTGGCATAATTTTTCAGCAGCAGCAGCAGTGATGTGTTCACAACTTGCTCCTGCTACGAAACGCCATCATTAGAATGAGAGCGGGTAAAATTGGACTATCAACACAAAACAAAGTCAACAAGCTGAGTAAGAATGTCTGTTGAACAGCGATGTCTAACTTAAGCTAACAGCAGCAACCTTAAGCCTCTGGTCATACCAGACCTGAGCGCATTCAAGTGAGTGTTCTTTTTTTGCCTATAAATTCAATTTTAATTCAATTCAATTTTATTTATAAAGCCCAATATCACAAATCACAATTTGCCTCACAGGGCTTTACAGCATACGACATCCCTCTGTCCTCATGACCCTCGCAGCGGATAAGGAAAAACTCCCCCAAAAAAACCCTTTTAAAGGGAAAAAAAAACGGTAGTTAAACTTTGTATTTGATAAAGTATGAGTATAATATCTGTTCTTCCAAAACGTAAATAGTCTTGCGTTGAAACAAGCACTTGTACAAATCTGTATGTCTTTTTTTCCTTTTATTGATTGATGAATGACATTTCCACATCTTTCTGTTGTGCTTTGCACAGAATGTGTTCTGCAACCCTGCCTTTGAGCTGGAGGGGGAGCAGGAGGAAAGAGTGGAGGGATTCAGGACGTCCTCATCCACCCCTGAGCCAATCAAACCACCGGCAGCTAGTGAGTCAGCCAATCAGCCTGCAGCTTTCTGTGACTAAATCTGAACTGCATTAGAGTGCGTATGTGTGTTGGATTAGTAACATTATTGCATCACTTAAACACTTTAAGTCCAGTTCTCTCGAAGAATAGTAAAGCAGTGTGTTAAACATGGTTGTTATGGTTCACTGTAGCCAAGGATTAAAGGGGCATTTCACATATTTTACACATCAAAAGATGAGTTCAGCGGTCATGGTAAGCCCTACTTGCCTGTGAAAATGTTACAATATCTTCTGTGGCTCTGGAGGAGCTTTCTTAAAAATAATGATAATGTGTCAGTGATGTCATTAGGGTTATCTCAGCTCAGGCTGGGAGACTAAAACAAAATCTAAAAGAAAGCCTGTATTAGAAACTGGAGGTGTTGAGTTTTTAAAGACGTGAGTGTTTAGCAGGCAGGGAGAGGTTATCAAAGACGCTACCAAGTTGTATTATGGGAAATGTGGGGTCCTGTGTTTTCGTGTTTGACCCATACTAAGGACTAAAAGTATCTTGGCTTCTGCTGCTTTGATTTTAATAAGTCTTTTCTCAGTCTGTGTCTCACAAGTCCAACAACTTTATGGAAGGGCAACCATTTAACTGGCCAGACAAAGTCCAGTAGTTTATTTTTGTTGTTGTTGAATTAACACTTCATGCAGTGCCATTTTATAGCAAAGAAGGTGTTGAACTAAAGGAAGGGTAACAGAGAATAACATGTAGAAAATACTGAAATAAACCATAAAGTTAAAGTCATGAACTTATATGAACTAGCAAAAAAGACCCCCACTGTCCTCTTACAACCCCCAGTGTTTATGTGTATCCGTGCTCTGTTGTTCAGGTCTACGCTGGGGTCTGTTTGGGGTGTGTGCGATGCGTCTGCGGGGTCCAGGTTGTGGCTGGGGTGTGGTGGTGGTCTCTGCTGCTGCCCTGCTCCTGTTAGCAGCCATCGGACTGGCGCTGGCCCTCATCCTCACACGTGAGTCACTGCTGCACCTCAGATGAGTCATCACACTGAAAAAGAAACACCTGAAACTGATTTAAATCCTGGGTGTTTTCTGTCACTGATTTAGAGATGAAAGGCCAGGCTGTGGAGGATCAGTTGTTGTCTACCAGCCCTCCAGACCGGCTGAACGCAGGAGACGCTGGTTCCCCTACTTTACCCACAATTTCTACCGACAGAAGCCAACATGGAAGTACAGCAGCACCACAGTCTGCTAGGATCCCACCATCTGAAACACGTAAGAGATTCAAGCTGAATGGACGTTTGTGTTCTAATATTATACAAATCATGCAAAGTCAATTTCATGTCCATCCTCACCCAATAAAAATGCTAACTCTTCTTTATCTGGAGGCCCTTTGCTTTTTCCTTTCCCTCACAGGTTGTGGAGGGGTATTGGCTGACTCAGAGGGCAGTTTCAGCTCTCCAAACCACCCTGGCTCCTACCCGCCCAACTTGCTGTGTGTGTGGGTGATCCGAGTGCCTCCCCCCTCCCTGGTCCAGATCCACATATCCTCTCTGGCTGTAGAGGGGCCGTCTCCCTGTCTGTTTGACTGGCTCGAGGTGCAGGAGCAGATAGAGCAGAGCTCTGTGGTCACCAGGTTGGTCAAACCCCAGCAGCTACCTCCACGAATAAAATACTCACCAGACACAACAGCGTAGTTTGTCGTCAGATGTCACTGTCATGCTGCAGTGACAAGTGCTCTCTTTTAAAGCTTATATTTTTGCTGTAGGAAGACCTTGAACCTTACACTCCACATTTATTGGTTGTTTGCAGATTTTGCATTTGCACTCACCGTCACTCTGTAGAGGAATAACAAAAACTATCTCACCTAGTGGCGTATGGTAGGTAGCATGGAGTTAGGTCAAAACAGCTAAATTTCAATTTAGTTCTCTCTCTCCAAAGTAATGTTCAGGGTTCATGTCATTACCCTAAGGAGTCAGTAGATGACACTAACGGTCTGTGAATAATAGCAGAGTGCTTCAAGGTACTGAAAGCATCTTGGAAAAAATTCAATACATGTGAATACTTTAAACTTTTGGCTTACTTGCATTCTTGGAAAGTGTCATAACATGATTCATGAAATTCTAAAAATGTTACATAATTGCCTCACAAATCCTTTAGGGAATTCAGAGTACAAAGTTGAGACACTGGTGCCAACGCCAAAGTGACATGGAGAAAAAAACTGAGAGTTTAAGATTATTTAAAGGTCTGTCCTTCTCTCCTGCAGGTTCTGCGGTAATGTAGCACCACCGACAGTCAACACAAACAGCAGCACAGTGTGGGTCACCTTCCGTTCTGATAGCAGCATCGCAGGCAGCGGCTTCACCGCACAGTACAAGGCCATACTGCCTGGACACAGTCAGTAGTGTGTGTGTGTGTGCATCTGCAAATGCATAGACTGTTTCAATCATACTCATCTGCATTAATGTGCATGTATCTACTGTGTGTTTTCTCAGAGAGCTGCTCCAGAGAAGAGTTTATGTGTGACAGTGGTCGCTGCCTGCTGCCTGTGTCTGTGTGTGACGGTCATCCAAACTGTCATGACCAAACAGATGAGGCAAACTGCAGCCATAAACACAAAGGTGAGAGCATGGATGGGGTACTGAAGGGGCCTAACATGCACAGGCCCAGGAGCCTAAAGTGTCAGGGGCCCACCTGGCTTTCATCCTGCAGTGTGTCACTCAAATTAACACGTACTGACCAGGGAGAGACTCAAAATAACAACAGAGGTGCAAAGGAACTGCAAATAAACACAACGTTTACAACAAAAATGGGAAAGACAACCACAAAGGGATGAAAACAACCACAAGGAAGCACAAAATGACAATAAAAATACACAAAAAATACCAGATAAGAAACCAAATTACCACAAAGAGACAGGAAATGACCTCCAAGAGACACAACACATCCACAATGAGACACAGAATGGCAACAAAGACACACAAAAATACTAGATAAGAAACCAAATAACCACAAAGAGACAGGAAATGACCTCAAGGAGACACAAAACAACTACAAAGAGACACAAAACAACCACAATGAGACACAAAATAGCAACAAAAATACACAAAAATACCACATAGGAAAACCAAATGACCACAAAGAGAAAGGCAGTGACCTTAAGAAATGCAAAACAACCACAAGGAGACACAAAACAACAACAGAGAGACACAAACTGGCAACAAAGATACACAAAAATGCCAGATAAGAAACCAAATTACCACAAAGAGACAGGAAATGACCCCAAAGAGGCACAAAACAACCTCAAGGAGACACAAAATGACAACAAAGATACACAAAAATATAAGATAAGAAACCAAATTACGACAAAGAGACAGGAAATGACCTTAAAGAGACACAAAATAACCCATTGTCTCATAATCTGCCCAGTGATGAGAGCATGCAAACAAAGTTAAAAACAGAAACAGAAGTTAAACACACTTGAAAATTACCCAAGCATGACCTCATGGACATTGTCTCCACTCTGTTTGTTTCTCAGAATGTGGTGGGCAGAAGACGGGGCCCAATGGTTACCTGTCAAGTCCAAACCACCCCAGGCCTTACCCTCACCAGCAGGTACATCTTGAACCACTTCAGACTGTCAAATACACTCCACACCAGCAGTTACAGGACTGTGTGTCTTATGAACTAATCTGGTGTTTGTCTGTTTCCCATCAGCTGTGCATATGGTACATATCTGTTGAGGAGGGTCACGTCATCACGCTGAGCTTCAAGAACTTCAGCCTGGAGACTCAGGATGTGTGTGAGTTTGACTACGTGGAGGTGCACGACAGTGTCAACACCGGAGCTGGGAGAGTGCTGGGAAGGTGAGACGCACCACGGGCACCTGGACAGCGACTGTAACCTCAGTTATCATTTCCTTGTTCAAAACCTGTGTGAGGAGGGTAAATAAGGGTGGATGTGTGTCCTCATATTACCACAGTGTTATGAGGAACAGCTTTTGTTTCCTCTGTGTTTGTCTCAGGTTTTGTGGCACCACTGTCCCTCCAGACCTGACCTCCTCCGGCCCCCACATGACTGTGGTGTTTGTGGCTGATGAGGGAGTGGCCGACAGTGGCTTCAACGCCACGTACCAGGCTGTGTCCGTACTGGGCAGTGAGTTCTAGTTTTTCTAAAGAAAGAAAAATTCATATTAAACCAAAGGGTGACTGGTGCCTTCACTATTTCCCTTGCTCTGACATGTCTTTCTTTCATATTTTCCCCTCTTCGTTTGTTCTTTCCTTCCTCATTATGTCAAGAGATAAGGGGGAAGATCATTAGTTTCCAAGAGGTTCATATGAAGAGCTCCGCAAACATGCTTTTATCTTGATTTAAAGGGACGTGTGGTCCGAGCCAGTTTGCCTGCAGCACAGGCGAGTGCCTTCACCAGCAGTGGCTGTGTGACGGATGGAACGACTGTCCTGACGGAGCAGATGAGCAGGGCTGTGGCAACTCCACCTACCCTCCCTTCAGTGAGTACCTGTTATCTCTGACCTTGATCACAGTCACAGTGGGTTTTGTTTTCAGAGCTGGATTTTAGCCCTTGAAAAGATTATGTACAGAATGATTTGTCACCAGCAAAAAAAAACATTAAGGCCCCATTGACTGTATCATAATTTTCTTGTGTGTTCTGGTTCTCTGTGTGCCAAGTATTAGACTACATAAAGTAAAATACTGAAAAATTAAAATGGGAATCCTCTCCTTACACCCTCAGCTTCATCATGTGAGCTCATAGAGGTAGAGATGTGTCAAGGCCTCAGCTACAACCTCACCTCATTCCCAAACATCTGGCTGTCCATTGCTGATCAGAGAGAAGCTGCCACACTCCTGCGACAGTACCGGGTAAAAGCTACGTTAATAATGTACCTAAATTACCATGATTTTCTTGTTGTTGCTGTGTAATCCTTCACCATTTTGTCGTCCAGGTGCTGATGGAGCTGGCATGCTTTGAGCCCTTGCAGAGGCTGGTGTGCGGAATGTTCCTTCCCCAGTGCAGCCCTCAGGGTGGCGTCCTCCAGCCCTGCCGCTCGGTCTGCTCCTCTGCCGAGCAGCAATGCAGCCAAGCTCTGGATCTCTTCTCCTTCAGCTGGCCCTTCAACTGTCACCTCCTGCCTGACTCACAGGACCCCATGGAATGCTCGCTGCCTTGATGCTTCAAGCTTGAAGCCTCAGTTGTGCTGTTAGTAACCGATGCTCTCCAGTCCACAGTTTTCAGATGTTTCACAGATTTTCAGTGGTGTTTAAGGACCGAAAGGCATTTTACAAAACTGAGGATTGCATTTCAAGCAAGTCCACAGCATTCAAGAGTTGTAGAAAGCAGTTTGACTTGCATTACTACAGCGGTCATCACACACTACTGCCTGTAAAGCTTTTAAGTATGGTACATACAGAAAATTGTGGCACAGTAGCTATATTAAGAGAAAAGCTTTAAAGTACATAAACGTAAAGGATGATTGTGATTAAGATACAACACATTTTCAATCTTCCCCCAATAGAAACTGTTGTTTGCTGTCTTTTTGCACTATTTATTGCTTTGATGTCAAATCACGTGATAACAGATCTCACCTTTAACAAAAGAATGAATACAGAGAGAATAAAACAAACTTTATTGCCTTGTCAATGTTGATGTGCTTATATCATTTAAGTGTTTATAACAGTCCAGATTTGACCTAGTGCGAGATCAAATGACCTGAATCAGCTGAATGACACTGGAAACCATGATCTCTGTTAAAGCTGTGCTTTACTGAGCCCACATTATAAAATGTAACAAACACTCGTGTGAAACTGGAAAAGGAAAAGGTACATCAGTGACTGATCAACTTGTTGAAATCGATTTAATTGGTAACACAACATTTCAAGTTTAATTGGAAAAGGATCTGAAAGCATCTGAAATTAAAGCGGTCCATAATATTTATATAGATATACATTAGCTACTGATAATGTTCAGGTAAGAATCAGGTATAATTAGGTGTGTTGGCACTGCTTTTTGATGTTGTTACTCCACATCAGATCTACAAAGACTGCCAACACCTGCTCTGTATCAGTGACATCATCACAGCTGGCCACCTTCTTTATACACACAGTCCGTTCAAGAGATTCTTATACACGAGGCTCAGAAAGTGCACACAAGGAAAAATCCTTCTCCTGACAGGAAAGGAATTTTCCCTTCATAACTTGAGAGTGGATGTATGAAAATATTAAGTATTCACACTTGATTCCTGACGAGAGTTTGCTACACAAAGCTTGATTGCACATTTGTCAAATCTTTGAGTCACATATGTGCTTTAGTACTAAGTGCACTGTAGATTGTAGAGAAACCACGACCGAGCTGCTACGAAGGGACAATGAGTTTCAGGGTATGGTCTAGGGCCACAGCTGTCAGGCCCCACACTCGATGCTTCCCGTTACAAAACACTGGGAGGGTGTAGCCGTACTTGTCGCCAACACGGAAGTGTGTGTAGCCGCGGTTCTGAGGGTTGCACAGGTGGGACAAAGACAGGGTGAAAATCTCCTCCACCTGGGGAGGAAAACACTGGTTATAACTTTGGACCTAAACCGTAACCAACCATAGAAGTGGAGTGTTTTAAAGTAAATGTTTTACCTATCTATTAATTTGTATTTTTACTCTGATAGTTTAAAAAACAGAAGAGATTATTGAGAACAAATGAACAGATGATAAAAGCTGTATGCTGCTTTAAAACTGATTTGAAACAAAGTCACCCCGAGAGATCATCTGGTGACAGAGCAATACTGTAAGTAGACTGACCATAATATATCTCTAGTGTTTATTAGGGCCTAACAGTCGACCAAACACTCAGGATTTTAGGTAAATCGGCTATGATACTGTGCTTGTTATGGTTGCATAGCAACCTCAGACACAACCTGCCGATGCGCTCTTAAAAGCTGGCACAAGAAAGGCATCGTGTTTTCAAGGCAGTTAAAGACACAGCATGTGTACAACCCCTAATTTCCAGGGCTGGTACCTGTGGTTATTCCACAGGCTAGTTAATAACATGTCAGGCAGGAAATCCAAACCATTGTGTTGCCCCGCCTAAAATATGTAATTTAATAATTAAATTAATATCGTAAACATTGACTAGTCACCTAATGGACCTAAATGACAGCTATTAGTCAACTATGGAAATTCTTAGTCGGAGCCAGCTCTAATCTCAACAGTGTTCAGAAACAAAGTCCCAAGTTATTTACACATGTGAAAATCTGCCTCTCTCAAGAGGATATAAAACATCGAAGTGCTGAAAATAAATGAAAATACCTCTCCAGGGTTTGGTTTGAAGGATAACTCCTCTATGGGGCCGAGGTTTGCCAGCACAGGGGCGACCAGCATCCCCGACTGGTGAGAAAGACAAAAGACAAACAGCGTCAGAATCCAACACCAACAAATCGGTTGGTCAGATGGATTAGTTTGAAAATTAAAACATACATGACAGGCTAATCACAACGACAGACTCCATATAAAAGTTATTTAAAACTGCTGAGGATTACAATAAACAAAAAAATTCTTGAAGGTTATTTCCATTGTGGTCCCCTATTGCAGAACAAGATGGTAGACTTGATACAAAAGGGTCAAAATGGTCAAGTTCTGACATGATGATTAGTGTCTGTCTGTTTAAGTGACACAAAACACTTAACTTTTTTTCATTATTATCATGATAGATTCATCTGTGGCCTAACTTTATGACAAAACAAAGCCTGTATAGTAGTGGACATAAAAAAAGAAGGTACTGTGGGCCTAATTAGGCTTAACTCGAGGCTAATGCTGGAACAATTTATCAACTTATCAAGTAAGCAGATGGCAGAAAATTAATCAAACCATTCAGATAATTAAATAAGCGTTTGAGTGATTTATCTCTGTTGTGTCATCGTACACAGAGTATTTTGGGGCTTTGGTTAGCTGGTCAGACTAAACAAGCAATTTTACCTTGAGCTCGTTAGTTGTGATGAGCATTATCTACAATTTCATTTCTTTTTTCGGCAGCACGGTACTGCAGTGGTTAGCGTTGTCACCTCACAGCAAGAGGTTTCCTGATTTGAACCGGGATGGGGAGTTTGCATCTTGTCCCTGTGTCAGCGTGGATTTTCTCTGGGCTCTCCACCTTCCTTCCTCCACAGTCCAAAGAAATGCATGTTAGGTTAACAGGTGTAAATACGCTCGAAACGCATTGGGGACGGACTGTTATCCGATCTGCCAAACCACTTCTGAAGGTGGTCAGGGACGCTTTGTGACCACATCGAACGCAAGTGTAAATGCAAATGCGTCTCCAATCCACATGTAACATCTCCGTGGGGGAAAATATGTAAGCAAGGTACATCAGCTGGACAGAGGAAGAAGGAAGAAGACAACAACAACCCTCACTGGGTAGCGACTGCCAAGAAAAAGAAAACACGGATGATAGTAGAGGATGTAGTCACGGTGAGACTAAGTGTCTGCACTCCATTTGGTCCGACAAAGGGATCCATACAATAACGCGACTTCACGGGCGGCTAACATCTTGTTGTTGTTGTTGTTATTGCAGTGCACAGGATATGACGTTGTAGTCTGCTGCTGGAAATGTTTGCAGATGAAGAGGAGGATGTGATGTCAGCGGAAGGGAGCATGATCAGACAGCAAACGGATCTGGATGTAGACACCAGAGACACATTACTACCAGGTATAAATATATGTGGGTAACCGCTATCCGATTGCAAACCAAATGCAAAAAAAACGCATGATAGTCTGGCGATCTGTCTAGGGTGTACCGCATCCCTCGCCCATTATCAGCTGGGATAGGCTCCAGCCCCCTCACGACCCCTAACAGGATAAGCCGTTACGGAAAATGAATGAATGAACGGAGGGTTACTTTTAGTAATCGTTTACACAGTGAACGATTTGTTAAAAACAAAAAAAAAAAAACCTTACAGATTTATTGCCAATAAAATAATTGTTACTTGCAGCACTATTTAAGACTTTTTAACCACTATTCAAAGCTAATGAAAATTAAATAAAGAAACAAAATTGCAATTAAAACAAATGGATAAAAGAAAATAGCAGTTTTTCCAACAAGGTGCAATCAATGGCACACCTTCACAGTTTTACAATACCCTCCATACATTAATAAACCATAACTCCATCTTGGCATTTTAAAATCAATTTAAAAAATTTCGAAGTGGTGTAATTTTACTCTTGACAGCACTTGCACTCACCCTGTCCCTGAGAGGCTTCAAGAGGCCCCAGACCTTCTCTGCTGCCACAGAAACACCCAGCTCCTCCCTGGCTTCCCTCAAAGCCGTCGCCACCACATCATCTCTGTCTGATGGATCACTCTTTCCTCCTGCAAAACTGTAAATGACTGGAAGTGAGGACAGATACACAACTCCTCATGACATTTTTTTTTATTTAGCTCCTAGCTTGCCACTTACCTGACATCTCCCTTGTGCCTGCCCTTCAGTGTGCTGGAGCGCAGGGTGAAGAGAAACGCTGGCTCCCCCTCAACAGAGCACAGCGAGACCAGGACTGATGCCCATCTCCCTTGGTTCTTTCCCTGGCTCTGACTTGCCTCCTTTTTCCCCTTGTCCACCTCGTACAGCTTCAAGTTGGGCCCCAGGCTCTGTCTACACCTGTTTTCATTCTCCAGGGATAGACAGTCTCTCCAGGCTTCTGCTATGCAAGGGGCAGCTTGATGAACTGCTCTGTTTATTTGAGAAAAGTTGCTTGAATGTTGTTGTCTACTGTGAAAGTGGTTCAAAACACATGCTGTATGTGTCGATGAGCTGAAGGGTCTAACAAAGTACTGTCTGCAGTGTAAATGGCTTTGAAGGTTACACCGAGTCTTACTGGTGAAACAGAGTGAAGGTTGGCAAACATCCCAAGGCCTTTCCCAGGGCTGAAGGCAAGTTGTATTGATTAAACAGTCCTGGTGAGGACTTGCAGCTTTGACGCTTAGACCTAAATCTTCCGCTACAGTGCATTTCCAAAAGTCAGACGCTCGTCTGGCCTTTGCAGCGGCAAAAACCTGAGCAGAGTGATGATGGCTGGACAAAATGACATTGGATGGGTGGTTTTGAAACTCTCTCCGTCTCAGGTTGTCACAGCCTGAGTTGGATGAAGACAGCTGTGTTGAACGGGATGCAGTCTCTGTAGACAATGACGAGCCCCCCTTACTTCCATAGATCCCATCATATCTCCTTTGCTTAACATCTCTTGAGCTCTGCCATCCAGCAGCAGTGTGTTTACAGAAAGCAGAGAGGTGGGATTCCCTCAACAGCAACAACTGTCTAGTGGGACAAGACCAAATCAGGACCTGGGGGGCCCTAAACATCCTGTAAAAGAAACAGACAGCAGCAATGAGGCTCGTTTTGCTCATCAGACAAATACACCAGCATATGAGTGTATGTTCAGTTTGGATTCTCTCAAAGCTCAGTTGAATGATAAATGTCACATGGCTCCACCTACAGGAGTGATCACGTCTGAATGAAAATGTCAGCCAAACTTAAATTCTTTACACTCACAAAGTTTAGCTGTTTTGTCCCTAAGTTTGTCTATGCTAACTTAAGTTGCTGTCAAACTTTAAATTACTAGCTACTGCGGCTAGCGAGCTAGCTTAGCTGTGTTTTGTTTGCTACGTTAACACATCTGTATACCATCGCATTGCGTGAAGACATTAACTTTTTGGGCTTTTCCACAGCCAACTAAAACTAACAAAAGCTGTTGCCACGATCTTCTTTTGCTCTGAGATCAGCTGTCGATGTGTACGCAAACTAACTAGCTTGCTAACATATTAGCATAAAACTAGCAAAAACAACGCCGGGCTAATGTAGCCCTATGCTAAACTTTAAATGCGGCGGATTAGAAAAAAGCCGACACGCCCTACACAAAGTCAGAAAACATGCCAGTGACCCACTTTAATTTTGTAATATAGTTTGAGAGCGGAAAAAACTCACCTTGAAAGTTGAATCAACAGCTTCTGGCCTCTCGCCCAGCTAGCCGGCTTCCACTACTCAATATGGCGGGGGGCAGCTTCGTGCGCGTCAGTGTTGCCCTCACTGCGCTGCGGTGACGCCACTCACTTCCCCACACTCCCAGCAGCTCCTCAGCTTGTTGTATTTATTGTAAATAGCCTAAAGGGTGAAGGTAAAACAGATTTTTTTCTTTTATTATTTACTGATGAAACAATTCAGAACCTGATCCCTCATTGTTTGCAAATTTAGGCCCACATCACTGTCAGGTTACAGAGGTGAAAAACCAGCAGTCTGCCCAAACTGGACTCCACATTAACCAGGCCTTTACTAAAGCAGGTGATTATATTATAGGATTAATTTCTAGGGAGCTCTAACATGAACGTCTGGCTTTTTTTTCTCTTTTAATCTCAAGTTGCTATATTTATGATGCATACAATTTGTCCTTTGGCAAACTGGGAAGCACCTATGACATAAGCGAAAGAAACTTCTCACCTCACCTGTTTTACCAGCCCCACCCGAGCCCAGGCTTCCTCAGTTCTTAAGCAGCATGAGTTTCATGTCAACTGGCATTTCAGCTTTGCCATTTTTGGGTGTCGTTGCTTTAACTTAAAACACTTTGGACCAATATTTGTAGTTCTGTTTCCTACTCAAACCAGGAACCTTGTGGTGACCTCCAAGAAATCCAGCTCATCCTCCTCCGTTCCACCCAGCACCACATGGCCTCAGCCTGGCCTGAAGAGGAGACCTTTGTGTGCTCAGTATGCCTGGACACACTGAAGGACCCGGCAACTCTACCCTGTGGACATTCATACTGCTTGGCTTGTATCCAGAGCCACTGGGACAAGAAAGACAGCAAGGGTGAGTGCAGCTGCCCCCAGTGTCGGCAGGTCTTCAAACCTCGACCCTCCCTGGCCAAGAGCACTTTGCTAGCGGAGGCGATGGAGAAACTGAGAACCAACAGCTTCAAGCAAAGTCCCTCCACAGCTGGCTCCTCTGCCCAGCCATCAATGCCTATCTACCTGGAGGTCCTACCAGATAGAGGGCCGCGACAGGGCAGCGTGTACCCTCAGCTTCCCACGGTGGAGCCCAGGCCCTGCCCTCAACACAACCGACCCCTGGACCTGTTTTGTCATGACGACAAGGAGTGTGTGTGTGAGGTGTGTTGCCAACATGGACACAAGGGACATCGTGTGCTTAAGCCAGAGCAAGAGAGGAAGGAGAGGCAGGTATGTAATGGACAAGGCAAATAAAGGGTGATGCTATCAGTGTGCTTATGTTTGTCTCTTGTGTTGGTCTTGGTGTTTAAGATGAGGTGCGGGGGAATCAAGAAGTGTGCTGTCAAGTGTAGCATTTTGAAGATGTAGCTGATAAAAAATTGTTTTTCCTGTGCATTCCTGTGTGGAAGTGCTCATCTCTGAGGCCACAATATTGTGTAACATCACAATGACTCATCCCAAAGTACAGGCTAGGTCCATTACTGTCTTACAGTGTGTATGGCCTCTTCTTTCTGCACTAATCCATGGATGATGATGATGTGTGTGTGTGTGTGTGTGTGTGTGTGTAGAAAGAGCTTGTTCAGATGCAGGTTGACATACAGAAGAGAATCCAGGAGACTGAGAGGAAGCTTGTGGAGCTCCCACATGCTGCCCGCCAACACAAGGTAAGTAGCAATCATGATTGCTTGCTGTACTGTGTCACCATTTCTGATATCTTGCTTGTTTATGACATACTAATATTCCTTTGTGCCCTCTTCTCTTCCTCTTTGTACACTCCCAGGCCTTGGTGCAGGCTCTAGAGCAAGAGAGCATGGATTTATTCTCAGAGCTAATCAAAAACGTGAATCAAACAGGCATCGAGGTCGGTGAGGCCCTCAGCATCCACGAGACCTCCTTAGGCAGCCAGGTCGAGGGGCAGATCCAGAATCTGGAGCAGGAGGTGGCATCGCTGCGCTGGAGGGGTGAGGAGCTGAACAGGCTGGCCGACATGCAGGACCACATTCGCTTCTTGAAGGTAAAAGAAGCCTAAGCATGAGGTTCACTATCAATACAATGCTGTTTTTGATTTTAACATATTGTGCCACTTATACTGAAGAATTTCCTTACCATGGAGCCGCTGGGTCAGACGGCTGCCACGGGAGAGTCGAGTCAGGAGGAAGCGGTGGTAGCCTCTGTCCGCGTAGTCATGAAAGAGCTACAACAGTCAATACAGGATGTCTGCAAAGCCAGCCTGGCTAAGATCGTCAGATTAGGTCAGTGTTCTTCTTCTCTTCTCTCCTCCTTGCCTTTCGTCTTCAGACATTAAAACATTCCTTTTCTTTGTAGTGAATCCTGATGCTGTGGCTTCAGTGCCCAATGGTGCAGCAGCAGCGGCCACTACGGCAGCTGATAACAGTTGTCAGGCCACTGCAAAAAACACAGGTACAGTAACTTAAAATCCCTCAGTAGTACACAAGCACAGAATATGTTGAAGTTTGTTTGCCTGTTAAACTGTGGAAAAATGACACTTTAAGATGTGTTTCTCACAACTCCTCTGCTCTTTCCTGTAGTGTATGAGATGATAAGAGACCCTCCACCTTTGCCACCTCCACGACCTCAAGGTACAGATGCTCCTGGACCTGAAAACATTTAAATATGGTTGTTAGAAAGTGTCAGAGTTAATATTTTTCTTCATGAATTCATTTCTTCTCCCCATCAGGAAACAAAGATTCATCCAAACGTCCTTCTTGTCAAGGTAAGAACAAGATAGCTTGTAACAGTGTACATGTTAGATGTCATGCAGTTGATATTTTATGTGGTTAACCTTTTTCTTTGTTTCTTCTCCCCCCATTTCTCTGGACATGAAGCTTCAGCCCTGCCTCCACCTTTCCCTCCTCCTCAACCTCGAGGTAAATACAAAAGCATCAGAAGCTGCCTTTACAATTCAATCAACTACTTAGAGGAAATGCAAATTGGTGTAAATGACTTTTGATCCCTGATTTGATATATCATTTTTTGCCTCTTAGCACCTCCTGCAACAACAATGGGACTTGTTAATCCTGATCCAAAGACAAGAGAAGAACTGCTGAAATGTGAGTTCATCATAATCTATAATATATATAAACACAGAGTCAAGGCCTTCAGGGGATCCAGAGTTCTCACTAAGATGCATCCTCTCCCCTCAGATCGCTTTGAACCCACCATGGACGCCAGAACGGTGTTTCGCCACGTGCAGCTGTCAGATGGCGATCGTAAGGCCACGATGCGGGCTGAGAACCTGAACCTACCAGACCATCCTGAACGCTTCCAGTTCTGGAGACAGGTTCTCTGCAGAGAGCCCCTAGGAGGGAGCCCTTACTACTGGGAGGTGGAGTGGACCGGCACAAAGGTGAATCATTAGACATCAGTGGGGAAACGGATGGTTTCGGATAGGCATGTGTTGCATACAAGACTTTTTTTTTCGTAAACTGAAATCACTCAACTGGACCACAAACTGAGACTTGTGAATTCAGGGTCTGTTGACTGTCATCCTGTTTGCCTAAAACAGAAGGTGACCACTTCACACTGTTGTCACAATAATCAGCAGTTTGTCCAACAAAAGCTGGACTCCAATATCTCTCCCTTTGCTAATCTTGGATGTCACAAATACTCGGTGTTTTTGGTTTTTACAGATTTTCACCAAAATATACTTAGGATTTAAATGAAACTAATCAGTTTAAACAGATTTTAATCTTGATTTTATGTCCTCACACACCCAAAAATGTTGCATTTCCTGTTGCAAGAGGTCACTGGTTATTGTAGGTTACAATAAGACAGAGCCTCGTGTGATCAGGAGTCAAGCAATCCAGATTTTACCTTTTTAATATTCAAAATAAACACTGATCTACTTTTGTGGATTCTTATTTTTCATCACACTAGCAGCTTGGTTTAAGGGATGTTAGTGTCTGTAAATCACTCCATACACTTAAAGTCCAGCCTGAAATTTAATCTAAATGATAAATCCTGATAAAATCACCTGACTTTTCCTCTAGCACCATCACAAAGTTCATATTTGTGGTTTTGAGTGAAATTACTCAACAACTATTTGATGAATTGTTATTAAATTAAATTAATTATGAAAATTAGAGATCCTTTAACTTTTCATCATCATTTTAAAACTATAATTTGTCCAACACTAAAAATTCTACTTGAATAAATACCTGCAAAACTAAAGACATTTCCATCAGCCTGAGCTGTACTTTGTGTTTCGTGCTCAGTTAGCATGCTGACACTAAAACTACACTACATAACACCTGCTAAACGTTAGCATCTTAGCATTGTTACTGTGAGCGTACTGGCATGCTGACATTGGCTCATAGCAGCACTGTGCCTAAGTACAGCCTCACAGAGATGCTAGCATATCTGTAGTCTCTTAGTCATGTTGAATAAATACCAATACTGAGCCCTGGTTATGAACCTTCAAAGACTTAGAAGACATGAGCTGTTGGATTTACATTTTACATTTAGGTTCTGAACATGTAGATGAGAAGATTTGCTTCCTCTCATAATCAAGTTTTTTCCTGTCCCAACGTGCAGATCACCATCGGCGTGGCCTACAAGGAGATGGAGCGTAAGGGTTCTGATGACAACAGCCGTCTGGGCCACAACGCTCTGTCCTGGAGCTTGTACTGGTCCGGGACCGGCTTCTCCTTCTGGCACAACAGCCAGGAAAAATTGCTGGGTTCCCCCAAGGCCCGGCGGATTGGCGTCTATCTGGACCAGCATGCAGGGATTCTGGCTTTTTACCGCATCACCCACAACCAGGCTGAGCTCATCCACCGGCACCAGACCCAGTTCACCGGCCCACTGTACCCAGGGTTCAGGTTCTGGGGGGGTGTGGGGTCTACAGTGACTATTTGCCAGTTGGATTGAGTTGTTTATGAATGATGGGCTGTTGTTTTTTTCATATAACTGGTTAGTCTGGTTGGAAGCATGTGACACTTTTTTAATAAGGAAGCAAATGTGCTCAAGAGAAAAACATGTTCAAGAATGTCTGGTTTTCATGTTATTCTTTCTCCGCCAGCTTTTATTGGTGTGATGTCTTTGTAAGTGAATAAAAGAGCAGCAAACACACATTTCATTTATACATCTTTATATTTTTGGGATGGATGTTAACATCTCTTAAAGGAGCAGTATGTAAGATTTGAGCAGATGTGTTAGCATCTAGTGGTGAGGATCTCAGATTTTGAACAGCTAAAACTCCTGATGAGAACTCCTGTAGTGTTTATCATTCAGGAGGTTTTATATAATATTATATTCCCTTTCTGCCGATACATCTGCCCAAATCCTACACGTTGATCCTTTAAAGCGTTGTTGATAGTTTGAGTAGACCTCAGTATGGTGTGACACGTACACAGGCCAATACACATTCTGTCCTGCTGATCTTATCTTTGATCCTCACTCTTAGGTAACCAGGATGCTTTTGACCCCTCCATTCTTAAGTTATCTGTAGCATCTCTCGTATTCCCACATGGATTTGTAACAGTTTGACCTTCATTGGCCTTTTGTCTGCCCGTTCCTTTCTCCTCATGTAGCTAAGACTGTTATTCATGTACCTGCAATGCAGAGTCCTGATTGGTGTTCAATAAAAGATTTATTTTGCTTCACATTCTCACCTCCTCACTTGTTGCTTTCCTTGGTTTTTATGAGTCTTTTCTGTCTTGATCCAAACACTCTTCAGCATGGCCTCGCCTCAAGTAATTCAACACTACTCACAGGGGGACAATGAATCTCTCATTTTACATGTGGTGGCAACAGCTTGTTGTGTCCCGCCCTCATTGAAACAGTTATGTTACGAACAAATTATGAAGTTATAATGAACACTGATAACATAGCTTCTGGGTGCAAAGTCTTGAATTTAATAATCTGCTTGTACTCAAAATAATCATGCAGTAGTGTTCGACATGTAATGGATTGATGTGATGGATGCAAATGTCAATCTCAGCTCACATTATGCCTCTTTTAAACAATAAAGCCAATAAAAAAAAGAGTATTTTCTGCACTGAACAGGCCTACCAGGCACAGGGGTGTGTCAGGGCCCCCCTGGCCTTGACCAAAAAGGGATGCGAAGGAACTGCAAAGACACAAAACAACCAATAAAGACAAAACTAAAAAAGGTACACAAGCCTACAGAGGCAGTAGCCCCTTTTACACTGCCAGATTTTCAGCGAATGTTGGGCCATTTTGCTGGCAAGCTGCGAGCGTTAAGGCACACAGGGCCGAATTGGCGAGTTGATCCAAGGTGCCCATTTTTCCGCCTTGTAGGGTATATTGGTGGAACCTTTTTCTGTTTAAAAAGAACGAGGCGGCCTTCCGCCACGGGAGGGGTTGTTGATGACTTGTGGGAGGAGCTGTTGATGACGCCACATGTGCAAGCCACTGTGGATAAACAGGAAACAGCTGATAGCAGGAATTAGCGAGCAGCGAGTAGCAAGAAGGAAACGCAAACCTGACAGACACTGTAAAGATGAGCAACTGGGGAGACAAGGAATTGCGCGCCCTCCTTGCCCTCGCAAACTAAGAGGCCATTAACCAGGATGGTGAAGGACGGGCCGACTTACAAGAGAATCGCCGAAGGACCGACCAGCCTCGGCTTCCCTCCCACGTCACTGTTTACGTCACACGCTGAGCAACACGTTTTGTTGCTTGCTCACGCCCCCCATTGCCCCGAAAAAGGCGCATTCTGTATAAACAAAAGTAGGTAGGCGGCATTTTACCGCACTCCCCGATTTTGTTTTTATACTGCCAATGCTGAAAAAAAGACTGTTTGGGCTTTCCTGCAAATTTGCACAATTCCTATTTAAAAAGGGCTTGTGTGTCTTGCTCTTATGTAGACAGGGGGTGGGGCCTTTTGCATATCCGTGCCCAGGGACCCATCGTCTCATAATCCACCCATGATTTTCAGTGTTGCAAACTGACAAGTCACTCTGTCTTTGATCCACAATATACAAGTTGCATCCCAAACACAGAGGAAAGACACTGCCTTTGTTTGCTGATGGGAACATTGAACCTTGTGGACATCTTGCCGCAGAGGACAGATGATACCTGACCTACATCTACAACACAAAGCCCTGGAGGCTGTGTGTGTGTGTGTGTGTGTGTGTGTGTGTGTGTGTGTGTGTGTGTGTTTGTGTGTGTGAAGCCCCTACTCAAACAGAAGTGATTTAAGGTATACAGGTGTATACGTATACAGACATGAAGGCAAAAAGGGTGGACTATAGGGTAAACTGGGAGGAGCTATAGAATGAAGCTGATGGGAAACATATAGTATATATAGGTATGACGCTTAAACCTGCATCAGTCTGTCACACCTTCTCTCCTTCTGAGGCCATCATCAGCTGCCAGCGTCACCATGCGAGGTGAGACGAGATATAACAAGGATATATGATATAAAGTTTTCCATTCTCAGGTTTTGTGATTCTTCTTTGGGATTAGTGCAACATACCTTTTGCTCTTCTCCGCAGCTATTGTATTGCTGTGCCTGTTGGAAGCAGCCTTCGTCCAGGCCACTGAATATTCCTGGAAAACATCTGGTACAAATACAGATAGTGCAAGTGTCGATCCAAACGCGGACAATGGTGAGAGACTTTTAGGAAAATATATGATGAAATGGAACATATTCAGAGTACCTACTGGGGGTAAAAGAGGGACTGATTACCCATTGGCCTTTGAAAAGCTTGGGGTGAAATGTTTGGTTTTGTTTTCAAAGTAATTGGTGACGTAACTGAATAAAAATTGGCTGAATAAATCAGTTGAAAGACTATGTAAAAGAATAGGCAAAGCTCTTTGAGGCCCCTGAAGGTGCAATGTGGTTTCGTCCGCCAAGCACTAGGATTCATTTTTAAATTCAGCTAAAGCCTAAAGACGTGTGTGTGTGTTTAAAAAAAAAAGGAAAGGACACAGAAGCAAACTTTGACTTTGTAAAAATCAAAAGGTGCTTGAGAGACATGGATCAAGAGATGAAGGGCAAGGGACACACTGAAACTGATAACGCATGGGGCCCAGGCTTTGGTGCTACGCCTCTGCATGTTCTCATCTGCAACTTACTGTGTTTCTGTGTGTTCAGCATGTGTTACGGACCAGGCATCGTGTGGATGCTGTCTGATGCAGCAGCAGGTTCATAGGATGAAGACGTTCTTTAACATGAGCCTCACTGAGCTGGAGAAGGAGCTGATGAAGACAAAGAGCATCCTCAACAATGTCAGAGGTGAGACAAGAGCATGAGACACACAAACCCGAACAGCTCTCCACACTCTATCATGCAACACAATCAGTGGGTGTAACATGTTTCCCTCTTCCCCTCTTCTCCATCTCCAGCCAGCCGCAGTGCCTTCTCCGTCTCTCTAACCAATGAAGACAAACTGAACTGCTTTGGCCCCTTCCGCGACGACACGCTCATCACCTACAAACATATTTTCATCAACCTGGGTGATGGCTACAGTCCGGACACCGGTATCTTCACTGTTCCACGCTCTGGTGTCTACAGTCTTGCCCTCACCGTCTACAGTGACGCTGGTTCTCCTGGTAACACTCTGGCCGCCTGCGCCGGTCTGCTGGTTAACGGCCAGGTGGTGGCAGGACCCAGAGAAAGAAATATGCAAGATCAAGAGGACAGTGCTACGGTTGTTGTGGCCCTCCACCTGACGGCTGGGGACCAGGTGGCTGTCAACCTGCCCATTGGATGTTTCCTCTGCGACGACAGCAGCCACTATAACACTTTCACTGGTTTCCTGCTGTATGCTACTGACTAAGCTAGGGAAGTTGTAGCTGCTCTGGGATTTGTACCAACTCTGGCATTGTTTGTGTCTGATACATGAAATATTCCCGTAGCAGCAGCTGTGTTTTGTAGCTCTTCATCTCTTTGGTCTTTCTCACCCAACAATGCTCTCAACTTGCTGGTTTTATTTCATCATCTTCCACTGTCATCACACCCTAATGTTATCGTTTGACACGAGCAAGGTTTAAGTTTATTTCTAATGTTTGAAATAAGATTTAAAAATGTTGTATATCTATGTCACAATTGTCCATGTTCTGAACTCACTCACAGCTGATTAGTGTCATATAATCTGAGTTTGTCTGTTCTTGTAACTGCAAATCTGTCACTTACTGATTTTATGTGATATATATTGATGGAAATATGTGATATACCTGTAAAATCAAACATAAATAAATCAGGATTTTGAACAAAATAATAGTGTATGAGGTATTTTGTTTAAATCTCTACAATGGCACACAATGGCATTGCACTGCTATGACATTGTGTCCACGTACAGTGGACAATATATCAATTTTTTCATCCCACACAATCAGATTTCTTGTCAAAACCTGGCTCCTACATTACCCACAATGCATCGCAACCTCAACAGTTCATTCAGGGATTCGTGGGTGTAATGCTAGCAGCCTCTAATGTAGCCTCCAGCCAGTGGTGTAATATAATGAAGTAATAATACTTTACTACTTTACTTGATTTTTTATATTTCTGTCAACTTTTACTTTTGCTGCATTACATTTCCTAGATTAAATGAATACTTTTACTTCAATTCTTTTCTCTGTCATTCATTCATTCATTTATTTTCCTAAACTGCTTATCCTGTTAGGGCTTGTGGAGGGGGTCTGGAGCCTATCCCAGCTGACACTGGACAGGAGGCAGGGTACACCCTGGACAGGTCATCAAACCATTTGACCATTTGTCAAATACTTTTGGTTTATGACTAAATACCTGCAAAACTAGTGACATTCCTCTCACTGACATTCCCATCAGTCTCAGCTGTATTTTGTGTTTAGTGTGAATTAGCAAATGGTAGCATCCTAACATGCTAACATTAGCATTTACCTCAAAGCACCTCATGATTATGTGCAGTTTAGCTGTGGATTCTTAGACCCTCATTTATCAATCTAACGTACAAACCAGAACAGATCCGACTGCAGAAATCATCCAGTGATAGGGTTCATGTGTGATTCATGAAATGTTATCTCATCAAACACAGCGTAAGATTGATCGGGTGATGATGAATGTGGCAGCTGAAAACAACTGTTATTTACATATCCTACTCCAATGCATTCTGGTTTTAAAGGCCTCGCTGCTAAGGTGTTACAGTCAACAAGGTGAAGCCAAATGCAGAACACAGACTCAGGAGGAAAGTGGTAAAGTGTTTCATTGCCAGGATAATGAATGTGGCAGTGGGGAAAAATCCAGGGGATGGAGGCTGAGGGGAATGGTTTATGACGGAGGGGCAAACTAGGTTGGAGGGGTTCGGCTGGCCGGGAGCGTGGCAGAAGAACAAACAGATGGGCAGGCGGGCAGGTAAAAGTAAAGTTGAATTCACAATTCAGTAACAGCCTGAAGTGTGCCTGTACCACAGTGTTAGACTCAACAATCTGGTGACAACTGGAGAGGAGAGCCGGTGTTATATACTGCAGGGGTGATTACTGGATAGTTCTCAGGTGAGCAGCAGGAAGCAGGTGAGTTGAATGAATGGAATCAGGAACCCAGGAGAGTGAGGGTTTTGCCACACTCACAGCACAGACACACAGAGAGACAGACAGGGGGAGGGGAAACAGAGGACATTAAAAAACACAGCCAGGGCCATGACACTCAAGTTTACGACATGGAGGGACATAATACGGCCAAGAAGACGCTAGAAATGGATACACTGATGGCCTGGGTCCAATTTAACCAAATGGTTATATTTGGCAGCCTGAAAAGTGTTGGAAAAGCACAGTATAGAAGCAAATCACTGCTGCAGTCAACAGCATTGCAGTGGACAATCGAACTCCAGCTGAGCCTGGAATATTAAATTTACACATCTATGATATGTATTGACCTATAGCCAACATGTAATATAATATTTATTTAACAGCTTATAATTGACCCAGACAGAGGAGCACATGGCAAATCAGGTCTGCTTCCATTTTGGGTATAACAGGTGGCAGCCAGACACACCACCTGTGTCTGACACTGGTAAAAATGTAATAACCCACAGGCTACAAGTATTTGAATATTTACACAGTTGCAGGGTTTATTTATTTCTTTTCATTGAAGTAAATTTGTTAACTTAGGTTCAGGAGCAGGGCCACGCCTCAACCACACCTCAAATTACCTGCAAAGCCTACCTACACCTCTCAGATTTCTCGACCCACCCTCCCTTTCTCTTCCCCTCATCCATCATCCTCCCAGCCTCATACCTACCAACATTCCTTCATCCTCTCTTCCCTTCTCCTGTCAACTGGAGGTTGACCATCTGGGTGGAAAAACGCCTGAGACGGAACCCCACACTGAGTCTCCCTCTACCCAATCTCCAGTACATCCTCCTAGATCAACCTAACAGAAGACATCCCTCTTTCACCTTCACCCACTTGTGTCCATTCACCAGTCCTCAACAACTAACACCTCCAGAAATACAATTTAACATTTAGACGACATATTGTTGTGGCGTGGTCCTTGCTAGTGAATGATGAGTGATTAAGTAATTAGATGCCAGTCAGAATATGGTCGAATAACAACTCTCCAACTCAACCGGATTTACTGCTGCACCTCAAGTCCTCGCAGCCTCAAACTTGAGAACACGAGCGTGAGATTTGATCATAGCCTCCACTCACATCCACATTGATAAATGCCAAGCTTTGCATTGAAATGATCATGTATGCCCAGTTTTCTGTCATGAGTTCATTTCATAAATGAGGGCCATTGTCTTGACTGATTATATGAGCACATAAATGAGTACTTGTGGCATCCAAATGGAGCTCATGAACTATGGTCAACAAGAATGAGGCTGGGATACAAGCAGCTGAAAGGAGTTTCCTCTGTGGGGTGGCTGGGCTTAGCCTAGGAGATAAGGTAAAGAGCTCGGACATGTGGAGGGAGCTCGGACTAGAGCCGCTGCTCTTTTGCATTGAAAGGGGTCCGTTGAGGTGGTTCGGGCATCTGATCAGGATGCCTCCTGGGCGCCTCTCATTGGAGGTGTTCTGGGCACGTCCCACTGGTGGGAGGCCCTGGGGCAGACGGGGGCATTGCTGGGGAGAGGGACGTCTGGAGTGCTTTGCACAGCTCCTGCGACCCGGCCCCGGATAAGCGGATGAAAACGGATGGATTGGATGGATGGCATCCAAACAGAGTGGTATTTTGAGCCAGTTATTCCTACAGCAAGACCAGCTGTGTATGGATGGCTTTTCCCTCGAGCCTCATCTCTTGCGCATTAGTCATTAGTGACCACAGATTTCCTCTATTTGGATAAGACTCTCTGTGGTACCTCTATAACAGTCCTCAGCAGTACCTAAAGAACATCAGTGCTGTAGTTTTGTGTGTAGCTGCTCCACAGAGAGTTATCATTCCACTCTGAAGCAAGTATGTTCGTTATCAACCATGCACTGAGTGGTTGGACCAGACAGTTGGTGCAGACCCCCATTAAAGGCTAAAAAAATCATGTACACTGTCTTTAAAAGTAATTTCAGCTATGCAGCTCACCATGATTCTTAGCAACTGGTGAGGAAACTGAACTGAACTCATCCCAGGCGATAGATGATACCCGGGTGGCATCAGTAACAAAGCCCTGGAGGGTACCTGCTTGTGTGTGATTTAGGAAAATGAGAGCCCCTAGCGATGAAGAAATACAACTCCAATTATAAGGTTATAAAAACAAATAGGGTGGACAATAAAAACGGAGGAGCAATGCCAAAAGAGGAGGAATAAAAATGACGGAAACCAAGGGAGGGGCTCTCAGTAAAATAAATATCCACGTCTTTTGTCTCATGATCAGTCTGCATGCTGCCCGTCCTTGTGAAGCCATCATCATTTACCAGCATCAACATGAGAGGTGAGACTTGATACAAGCTGGAACTACAGTGACATCATATTTAGGAGGGAGACGGCTGAAACATTACAGGCAAGGTGGACTCCTGAATGGTCAGACAGAATGGAAGCAGTGTGGGTTAGAAATGTCCTGACTGAAGGTGACTCATCAGGGATTAGTCTCAAATCTTGTTCAAAAGAAATGAAAGGAAGGACAGAAACAGCAGCAGCTTCGAGTCAGCTCGTTGCCTGAGAAAAGTAATGGCAACTAATGCAATGCTTTTTCTGAGTTTTATTGGTATCTGCCTTTGCTCTTTTCCCACAGCTATTGTACTGCTGTGTCTGCTGCATGCAGCCTCTGGTCAGTATTTCTGGAACTCACCTGATTCCACGACAAGTTATCCAGAACATGATGGTAAGAGATTGAGAAGGAAAAGTCTATCCCCTCTGCATAGTCATATCCATCTGCCATCTAATGTATTAATGTGTGCACCTATACGTGTGTGTGTGTGTGTGTGTGTGTGTGTGTGCGTGTGCGCGCAGTTTGCCTTTTGGATCAGACATCATGTGGCTGCTGTCTGATGCAGAAGCAGATGCACAGGATGGTGAAGTTCTTCAACCTAACCCACAAATTAATGAGCGCGGGGCTGAGAAAATCAAAGATGGCCCTCGACACTGTGAAAGGTGAGCAACACATTGTCAAGCCACACAGACCAGGTGACAGACATCATCAAAATATTTCAATAAAACAAAAAATGATCCACTTTTTATTACTGTGATTGTTCCTATTTCTCTGCATCCACAGCCAGCCGCAGTGTCTTCTCTGTCGGCCTCAACGATCACAAAAACATGAGCTGCTACGGCCCCTTTAGCACTGCACAAATCATCACCTACAAACACGTCTTCATTAATTGGCACAATGTCTACAGCACGGACACTGGTATCTTCACTGTTCGCAGCTCTGGTGTCTACAGCATCGCCGTCACCATCTACACACCTCGTTCTGCTGGTACCATCACTGGCGCCTGCGCCTATCTGCAGCTCAACGGCATGGACGTGGCTGTACTCTTTGAACAAGAAAACCATGACTTGCAAGACAGTTTCACTGTTGTTGTGACTCTGGAGCTGAGGGCTGGAGACCAGATGGCAGTCCTCCTGACGGCAAGATGTTTCATCTGTGATAACACAAGCCGCTTTAACACTTTCACTGGCTTCCTGCTGTACGCTACTGATTCATATGGCAAAAAGTAGCTGTTGTGGGTCTTATACAGTTTCTGAGTCTGTTAGAAGAACACGACTTGTAGCCCTCGATCTCTGTCTAATCTGTACTATCACTCATCCCGACACAACACTGTCATCATTATTTTGTGCTCCGCTATTTTTCCTGAGATCACTTCC